TGGTGGTCGTCCATGCGGTGGCGAGGGACGCTCCTCCGGAGACAGGCTCTGGCCCAAAGATCCATTGATTCACAAGAAATACAAGATCGTCAAGAGCAAGATTAACTGAACGTTGTTAGGGAACAAATTAGTTTCTGAACTTAATATCTTCGTTTTTTAATATATGATGTCGATGATTTGTACATTATGTATGAGCATTTGTTTTACCTTAATTAAGATGCCATGCATTTCTGTTACATTTTTGCGAACGATTTTGGAAGAGTTATTCATTATATGGGTATGATGCACATGTCTGAATTAATTAATGCAATCAAGCTATCATCAATTATATATGATGCACATTGTATTTCTTAATTACACCTTTTGTACCTCTCACATACTGTCACACATGGTCCATCGCCAAACACATCACAAAGATATATAAATTGATACTACCATTTGCGATCATTCATGCATATGCCAAGTTGAATTAAAAGGACGTATATTATTTTACCATCATTAATTCAGTATTTTAATCTGATATAACAAATCGCAACTTGTTTGATATAGAGCGTGCATCAGTACAGCAGCAAAAGGTTGACGTGCAATTTGCCTTAGCATATCACAACATTAATCCTATATACCTATACAAATCATCCCTACTACTAGAATTCTCTGCTTCCTGGTGCTTCCACGTCACCCCATTTTCTTCCCACCGTTCGATCTCAATCAAGCGGTCGCATCGCTCCTCTCCTCTCCCACATCTCGCTGCTTCACCGGCCCCACGCGCATCAACCCCTCTCTCCCGCATCGCTCCTCTCCTCTCCTCTCCCCTCGCACGCTCGCATCGATTCCCTCTCCCGCATCTCGCTCTGCCGCCCCCTTCGTATCAATCTCGCCGTGATCCTCTCCATCTCCCGCATCGTGCTCGCCCGTACCGGCGCTGGCATGTCATCCGCCTCCCGTGCCACACAGAGGCAGGATGAGGGTGTGGCGCTTCCCCTCCCGTCGCCCCCATGGCGGCTCGTGCGCTGCTTCCCCTTCCTCTCCCATGTCTAAGGTTGTTTGCCTCTTTAGGTTGCCATGATTAATGAAAACCGTCCACAACCACCGAGGAAAACACTTCACGGCTGTTATCAAGTAAATCCATTAATGGCTTAATGCGTTTTCTTCTCCTCTTATCCCTTTATCAGTTCTGCATCTATATCCAATTTATCATCTCGCTTATTCGTCGATCTACCACACTCTACCAGGCTACTGGCGTTTTACTACCGTTCTTGCAACTCTGCTTGCTGGATTCATATGCAGCCCTCACCTAGTTGATCCTCTCCAATTACTTCAATGATCTAACACAGGTTACCTACCGATTTCCCCTTTCCTTATGTTCAATAAATCTGATACCCAGCAGAGAATTTTATTGTTGTTGTATCCTCTTTTTCCAGGTTTTAGGTTCTTGGCTACTGATTTAGTTGATTCATATTCTTTATTTATCCTGAATTATAGACCACTTCTCATTCTTAAGTGGTTGAAGACGTGGCAAATATGCATCTATTGGTTGATTTGTCGTCACCCGATCAGATCTAAGAACTCATCGAGCTAAGTAACAATCATATGGGCTGCTAAGCGGATGGAGCTTTCTTCTTTTGGTATTTTAATTATGGTCTTTAACTGGTGAAGCTATATATATCTCGGTACATCTATGACGTTGATGTGCTTTTCACTTTTGATAAGGTCCTCATCAAGAATGATGTCAGATTCTCCACACACAGACACACAGGTTTGCTCTTAAATAGATTAGGTTGTCTTCCGTCTCAAAGTTCATTTTATTTTCTGATCATGTATACTCTAGATATGTTTTTTAAGTATCTTTTGTCACTCTTGAATTAGCTTGGTGATATAAATATTTTTGGAGTTTTCTGAAAGCTAAAATCACTCCAAAGAGTTAATCAAGGATGAGTACTTAATTATATATACGAGGTAATAATCCTTTTCCCAACTTCCCATATCTTACTCAAGCATGAAAATTTTCTACCATTATTATATAATAGTTTGACACCTTAGTTATGATTTCCTTGCTATCAGTGATAATTGGACTATATTTGTAGATGTTTAAAAATATAAAATATTGATGTTTCAGTTATGGTTATTATCAGTTTTGTAATTGTAAAGTAGTCATCACTCATCACCTAGGTTTGCTACATGACTTGACTACATTCCTGATCAGCTATGCAACTACAAATGCGCTCCTAATGTTCATCGCATATTTATACGATAAGATATGCATAATAATTGCTACTTCCAGTTAAATAAACATTTCTTACCACAATTATATATGATATTCTAGCACCTTATCCATGAATCAATTGGCATTCATTTGCAAGATTAACTACAGAATTTCCAAAACTGAGATCAATGGGTCAACGAGGGAAGCGGTACTAGGAAAAATGTCATGCTGAATAAAGGCTATCAAGTTAACGAGGACAGCAGTATGACACCTTACTTACTTTTCTACTGTTATTTTTCATACATGCTATGTTCATAAACACATAGTACATAATTTTGGGTAATTTTATTGATGGTGTATATTTTTCATTTTCCAGTAATGTTTAGTGGCCTTCAATTTTGTTTATTAATACTTGCTCTATCCGGTCAAAAGCCATATATTTGAGTTGTAATTCTGTTAGTTGCATTGGCCAACCACTGCTACCTGGGGAGATACTCCATCATGTAATATTTAGTTATAATTACCACTGTATATACTCCATCAATTATATGGTAATAAGTAGTTTTTTTCTTTTTTCTTCTCAAATGTTATGCACATATTGCATGTTTAAAAGTTATTTATTATGTCCGCAGCAACGCGCGGGGTATTATCTAGTTAATCATCAACTTGACCGATCGACCGAGACAGCAGCAACATATATATCAGATCAATCCAGGGTCGAGTCAATTGCAAGCAACGCGAAGTCAAACGACAAATCGAAATGCATGTCTCATATATATATCACAATTAAATAGGAGTAAATTACGTTCAGGGTAAGAACTTAGGATTTTTTTTTTACCATATGTATCAGCCGGACACAGCATTCCATATATTTTCCACAAAGTTCCACCGTACGGTGAACGTAATTTACTTATTAAATAGTCATAAACAATTCTAGAAACATTTAATAACATATATTATAATGTCAAATATCGCTCCATAAGCATATAAAAAACTAAATTTTCAATAATCTATGTAATATAAGAAAGGGAAAATTTTGGTAACAAATAGAATCTATCCATAACAAGATTTTTTTTTGATAGACTTAATATTTTGCAAGTAGATAAGAAACTATTTATATAAGTATTTTCTTTTTTAAGGGATTTCTTATAACAATTTGATTGATACATTTGAGGAGTAAAATCGAAACAAACGAGCGCTCTCATGCGAATCCCAAGTCAGAGCATTTCTCATTTTACTATATTCTTAATTGAATAATTTTAGCTCCTGCAGTCAAAAATAATAATTTTAATTCTAAAGTAATACGCCCTCCGTCCTAAAATATAAGTATTTTTAGTATAGTGACAAGTCAAACATTTCCAACTTTGACTATTAATAGCAAAAAAGTAAAAAAGATCAATCATGTAAAATTGATGTTACTAGCTAGATTTATCATTAAACAAAATATCATAATATGTAACTCTTTTTATTTAAACATCTTACTTTTATAGATATTGTTGGTCAAAGTAGCATATGGTAGACCATATCAGAGTCTAAAAATACTTATATTTTGGGACGGAGGGAGTACTAAGATAGCCCAGAGAAATTTGCTCCGTGCATATATAGATGTCCATATATCCCATTGAAGTGGGTTATTTTTTTCACTCGAGTGATGTACAATTGTTTCATGCATGCCATCCACAAAATCATAAAATAATTTGAGAAAAAATAGGTAGCTGGATATATAGGTGAATATTTGATATACACATTCACAAACATGCCCCCAGCAAAAATAATTCACAAACATGAAATTTTCAAATTTAACTTATACAAGTGGATAAAATATTTCTAGTTGTATAAAATTGAATTTGATCGTGCATATTTGTGAATGACGACATATCACACATATATTACCTGATCTATCTTATGAAATTGTTTTAATTTTTTAAGACCTTTTCTAAGTGACATATATTAAACGAGTGTACATCTACTTAGGGAAAACTCTTTTAATCGCCCGGGTGGATGTCCACCTGTTTATTACATAGCATCTAAATAGTTATGAAAAATTTGATAAGATAGATCAATATGAAATATATCACTCCACAAATATATAAGTTCAAATTCAACTTCAACAAATTGTAATAAAAATAACAAATAAAACTCAAATTAGTATAGGTATGTTTTCATTTAAATTTGTTATTTTTGTTACAACTCGTAGAAGTTAAATTTGAACTTACATATTTATGGAGTGATATATTACAAATATTGAACTATCTTATCATTTTTTTAAAAAAAATCATAACCATTTAACATGCAATAAGCAAGTGGATGTCCGCTGAGTGATTAGAATCCATCTTCATCTACTTAGTGACAAAAAGAATTTTCCAGTGATACAGTGGGAGCTAGACGTACTACTGGTACATTGAAACAGATGTAGAACATTTGTACACACATACACAAATATAATTAAGGTGTGTGCCCATTGTGTATTACTAGTATTACTACTTCTCTGATCATGGAGACAGTCATATACTTACACACGTACTATGCCATACACAATTAACAACACATCACAATTAATTTTAATCCATGACCAGATCAACTCATCATGTATCGGTCAAGTCCAACACTGTGAATACACACGTACGGACCAACAAAAATCCATTGACCACTTCCTCTCTCTCTTCGTCAACACCAGTGCCCAGCTACTGTTCGGTCAAACGCCACGGTTAGCTTAGCTCACCTGACCATTTCGCCGCCGCGGCGTGTCGTGGCGCGTGGCGTGGCGTCGCCGGCTACAAATACGGCAGATCACTCGACAACATTTCATATCCTCATCCATCCATCCAGGAGCATCCACTGGGCATTAGCTCGAAGCTCGGGACTCGCCGCGACGACGCGATCGATCGGACATCGGAGTGAGCGAGTTAGTAGGTGACTAGGTGTTCGATCACCGTGCCTGGTGGCTGTGGTCGATCTAACTAGCTAGCTAGCTCGATCGATCGCCGGAATTAATGGCAGCCATGGCGTCGCCGACCTCGCCGTCGTCGTTCCTCCCGGCGCACCTCCTGCGGCCCCACGCCGCGTCGCTCGCCGGCGCAAACGTGTTGGTGAGGGACGCTCCGCCTGAGACAGGCGGGGGCCCGCACCACAACGCCGTCCTCCGACAGCCGCCGGTGATGTTGGCGGCGGCGGCGGGCACTCCGGAGCAAGGCAGTGGCCCACACTACAACGCGGTCACGCAGTGGAAGCCCAGGGGAGGAGATCAACTCCGACTGCCCGCGTCGCCGCCGGTGATCTTGGCGGCGGCGAGCACTCCGGAGCAAGGCAACGGCCCCAAGACCAACGCCGTCCTCAGGCGGCCAACGCCGCCCGGTGGCGCCGGACCTAGAGAAGGCAGCGGCGGACGCGGCGGAGTGATCCACGCCGTCGCCGACTCCGCGCCGCAGAGGCCAGGCGCGCCGGCGGAGGGCGCCGGCGGCAATGGTGGAGCTGTCCATGTCGCCCCTGCTGCTGCTGCCTCTTCTTGAGTAGAAAGCTAATGAAAAACGCACAAAATTAAATTAAGATCTGATTAATTTCCAAAATTAAAGTAAGATTTTCTAGAGGTAGCTAGATTACTGTATATGATATTATGATGTAGTGGTAGTACGTACATGTACATGTCTGAGTTGAAGTTCAGATAAAAATGTCTGAACTTCAGTTGGAAATGAAGGGAATAAAATCAAGCAGATTATATAAAATCAAGCAGATTACCAAATATCATGCCTTGCATATACTCCTATTCAAGTTCCTTTCTACTTTGATTTTGTAATATATTATAGTTCAGATCTTTGTGCATGAAACCCTGTAATTAAAACGAGCTCTAAAGCCTACACTAGTGCTATACATAATACTTTTTCGAAACAAGTTGCATAAGATAGTGCGACGTTTCTATTATATAGTTGGAAAAAAAATACAAGTCCATGGTCTTGGAAGTCTATAGTCAGGAAAAAGAAAAAGACAATCACATCATACGTATACGTATGATCCTACTGCTAGAAATAGAACAAACAGACAACACCCATAAGGAATGGGTCTTCTGAACGACGCCAATGCACGAGCACCGTCCGCCTCCATCCGTCCTAAAGAACCAGGACTTGGTTTTCACCTAAATAACCCATTAGGAGTAATAAGCTGTTATACATAATACATTTGTAACAAACTGTTTGATATACATCATGAGTAAATTGGCACCAGGATATATTGGACCATACAAAATTCAAGCTAGACGTGAAGAAGTTGCATATCAGTTGGAATTACTAGAAGAATTTGCAGGTATACATCTAGTATTTCATGTATCACAATTAAGGAAGTGTCTCAGAAAACCAACAAATCAAGTTCCACTACAAGAACTAGAACTACAACCAGACCTAAAATATGAAGAAATGCCTGAACGGATTTTAGAGACAGATGAAAGAAGACCCAGGAATAGAAGTACTACATTTTGTTGAGTTCAATGGAAAAATCACACTGAAGATGAAGCTACTTGGGAAAAACGGTTGGAATTGTAGCGTGATTTTTCAGAACTATTCTTCCTTTGAGCTGAATCTCGGGGAAGTGATTCTCTTTATGGGGGGTAGGTCTGCAACATACTCAAAAATTTCAAATTTTTGAAGAAAATTTATCGCGACGATTTTTTCATTTGGCTCTTATTGAATTTTACTAAATTGGAGCATTTTATTTTTTTTATTCTTTTCAAATTTATATCTTAAAATAAATACCTTTCGTTTTATTTTAAAAAATATATCAAACCTCTTGATACTCTGAAAATCTTATTTAAATTTTCTTGCCAAAGTTCAAAAATTCCTCAAACTTCTCCCTTTAGATTCCATCTCCTTTGAATCCTATTCAAAAATCAAAACCCTCCACACAAAATCCCTAAAGGTTCCTATTTGTTAGGGCCGAATTTCAGTCTATTTGGCCCATTCCTTCTTTCTTCCTCTCCACTCCACTCCCTCCTCCTCAGGCCGCCAGCCCACCTAGAGTGTGGCCCAGCCGAGCCGGCCCAATCAAGAGCGGCCCAGCCGGGCCCGCGAGGTCACCTCCTCTCTCTCCTATGGGCGCCGCCGCCGCCGCCACCGCGCCACCACGGGCGCCGCCACAGCCCAGCCAATCCCGCGCTCCGCCGCCGCCGCCGCGCCACCCCCGCGCCGCAACCACGCCTCCACCGCCGCAAACCGGGTCACCCCGTGGCGCCCCCACAGCCACCGCCGCCGGCTCCATTTCCGCGGCCGCCGCCGCTGCCCACCGTTCTCGCCGCCGCCGCACGACGCCGCGCCACCTCCCGAGCCGCGTGTCGCCGCCGACCACCGAACCTCCATCGCCGGCCAATCCGACGAGGACACCCGGCGCCGCCATCCGTATCCCGAGCCGACGCCGCGGCGTGCCGTCGCCGGCTACAAATACCGCAGCTCACCGGACAACATTTCATATCCTCATCAACCGCATCCGCATCCATCCATCTATCCACCTCGCTCGAAGCTCGATTGTCGCAACTCGCCGCGACGTGATCATCGGACATCAGACTGAGTTAGTCTCGTAGGTGTTCGATCGATCGCCGGGATGGCATCAGCCTTGGCGCCGTTCCTGATCCCCGCACACCTCCTGCAGCCCCACGCCGCGTCGGCGTCTTCCGGCCTGCAGCTCGCCGGCGCAAACGTGTTGCTGAGGGACGACGCTCCGCCCGAGGGAGGCCGAGGCCCGCACCACAATGCCGTCCTCCTCCCACAGCCGCCGGTGATGTTGGCGGCGGCGGCGGGCACTCCGGAGCAAGGCAACGGCCCCAAGATCAACGCCGTCCTCAGGCGGCCCACGCCGCCCGGTGGCGCCGGACCTAGAGAAGGCAGCGGCGGACGCGGCGGAGTGATCCACGCCATCGCCGACTCCGCGCCGCAGAGGCCAGGCGCGCCGGCGGAGGGCGCCGGCGGCAATGGTGGAGATGTCCATGTCGCTCCTGCTGCTGCTACCTCTTCTTGAGTGCAAAACTAATTAAAGACGCGCAAAATTAAATTAAGATGTGATTAATTTACCAAATCCGAGGCTTGTTTGACAGGTTACAGTAAATACATAGATTCATAATTTTGTAAGATTTTCTAGAGGTAGCTAGATTACTGTATATGATATTATGTAGTAGCACGTACATGTACATGTGTGAGTTGAAGTTCAGATAAAAGTGTCTGAATTTCAGTTCGAAATGAAGGGAATAAAGTCAAACAGATTACAAAATGTTATGCCTTGCATATACTCCTATTCAAGTTCCTTTCTACTTTCATTTTGTAATATTAATATTATCATTTTTTTTCAAAAAATATCTATCTATTATATTATTAAAACAGTCTTGAAAGAAAGAAATATGTTCGCTGTGGAGGCTAGAAATTCCCACATTAATCGAAGAAAAAGAAATGAACAGTTCAAATAGAGTACAATTTAGAAATATCAAAAATTCGAAATTAAAAATAAGTAGTATTAGAAGAAGAGTCCTTATTGAACCAAATACGAGATTAATTAAAATTCAGAATTAAAAATAAAATAAATTCTGAAATTAGAAAAGGGAAAAAAGAGTTCAAGTAGAAATAGAAGTTAGAAATATCTAAAATTCGGAATTAAAAATAATTAATATATGAAGAAGAGTCCTTATAGAACTGAATAAGAGAATAATTGAAATTTAGAATAAAAATAAAATAAATTTCGAAAATAGAAAAATAATTATAAGAGTTCAAGTAGAAATACACTTTATAAATAAAAAAATATCAGAATAAAAAAATATGGAATTTTTTTTTAAAAAAATTAATCAATCTAGAACTCAACGACAACAAATAACAGTAAAAGAGGACAAGTAATAGGCATGTAAATCAGTAAGGTGGTGAAGGGTTGATGGGACATCTAAAAATTATAAACAAAACCAGAAATAGAACCCCAAGGATGATTAAGAGGTGGAATGACAGACAGGACATTAAGCAGCATAGTCATGACAGTTGGCGGGACTTCTATAAAGTAAAAAAATAAATCGAAATAACAATCATGTTTTATTTTTAAAATCTCAATGATAATAAATAGGGGAGACAACGGGCAGACCATACAGGAGTATAGTGGTGTGAAGCCGCTCTTCTAGAAATTAAAAAAATGAATCCTTAAAATTCGAAATAAAGAATAAAATAAATTTTGAAGATAGAAAAATAATTCTAAGATTTTAAGTAGGAATACACTTTATAGATAAGAAAATATCGGAATGAAAAATATGGAATTTTCAAAAAAAAAAATTAAAGTCCATGTAGACCTCAACGATGACAGATAATAATAAAGAGGGGAGAAACATTAGGCCCGTAAAGGAGTAAGTTGGTGGCCGTTGATGTGACATCTAAAAACTATAAATGAAACCACAAATATAATCCCAATGATGATTTTCTTTTACTGAAATAATCCCAATGATGATTAAGAGGAGGAACGATAGACAAGCCGTTAAGCAGCACGGTCACAATGGTTGGCGGGACTTCTAGAAAGTAAAAAGTAAATCGCAATGACAATCATGTTCGATTTTTCAAATCTCAATGATAATAAAAATACATGAGTATAGTATGGCGAAGCCGACGGCGGTTGGGCAGATTTCTACAAAGTAAAAAGATGAACCCTAACGATAATTATGTTCAATTTTTAAAATCCTATCAACAATTAATATGGGAGACAATAAGCGGATCATAGAGAAATACAATATTGACGTTTGACAACACTCCTAAAAATTATAATAACAGAACGTGACGAGACAATGGACTCTAAAAAGTAGAAGGTGTATTTTTTAAGGTTTAATGGAAGATAAATAAAAGCCGTGATATAGATCGGGTAAACAAATAAAGGGGTGATAAAAGAGCAAGAGTTAACGACTGGTGTGACTTTTAAATAAAAACTATAAAAATTTAAGGATGATAAGGTTCGGTCTTTTAAGGTTATAAGACAACATAATGGCTATTTAATAAATTTTAAGTAATTTCAAATATAGAAAAATAGATAATTTTACATGTGTGCTAGCTTTTGCGCGGATCACCCAGCTAGTTTAGAAATATTTGAATGATATACAAACACCAAGAGACATCTCTTGAGAATTTAAGGCCGTTCTATATGTACTCCAACCGCAAACTTCAATTTACTCGTTTTTCGTTAGCACGTTTCCTAGACTGCTAAACGTTTTCTGTTGCAAAAGAAAAAATATGTAGAAGTTGTTAAAAAATCAAAATTTCAAATTTACAATAATTAATATTTAATTAATTATGTGCTAATGAGTTTTCTCTTTTCGTTTTGTGTGCCCTGCAAATATTCTTGGTGAAACAAACGAAGCCAAATCCGTTCCGATAACCCCAAAACTCGCACTTTCGTTGCACATTAACTAAAACACAATTTTTAAGTCACATGCCGTTGCCGTTGCCGTTGCCGGGCCGCTTCTCCGGCGTTTTCCTCAGTTCACCACATGCCACCTCCTGCAGCTGGTCCTATACCCTTACTGCAGGTCTGCAGCTGCAGCTCCGCCATCATTCTTCTTCTTCTTCTTCTTCCTTCTTTTTCTTCTTCTTCCAGCAGCTCATGCCGGCATCAGCAGCGTCCCCATCACCACCAAGAACAGCAGCATGCTAGTCTTCGTGTCCAGCTCCGGCGGCACCCATGGGCAGGGCAAGGAGGCGGCGAGTGCGCAGGAGGGCAGAGCCGGCGAAGTTGCTGGCAGCGGCGAGAGCGAGACAGAGGCATGCCGCGCCGACCAAGGCCCGCTCGGCGGCTGCAAGTAGAGGCCGAGGCGGCGGGATAGGAGGAGGAGGGAGACCGCGACGGCGGCGGCATCTGTTGAGCGGTTAAGGTGGTGGCATGACTGTCACACACACTCCAAGCCGAGACGTGCGGGACGGATTCAACATCAAATAACTTTGATTTGATCTAACCTCTTAAAGACGTTATAACTGGAACCAAATTTCTTATAGTCAAATAACATACTTAGGGCATATTTAGCAGAGCTTGAACTCATAAATTTAACACCATGAGTTGAGTCTGGAGTAGAGTTATGGAGCTGCCTAAACCTAGATCCACCTCGTTAGTTTATTTTGTGAGAGTGCTCCACCCAACTACACTCCCATTCTAGGTGGAGCTGAAATTATTTAGCTAGACTACAGCTCTAGTAGAGCTGTAGAGGTAGAGTTAGAGCTGTGCCAAACTGACTCTTCGTACTTACGGTGACACCATGAAAACGAGAGTGAAAACACTGACATGTATATAATACATACGGTGTGTCCACTGTCCACTCCATGGTGTATTACTGCTTCTCTGATCGAGACACTGATGCACTTCAGCACTTCGCAATCGATGACTAGATCAAACACGTACGATCACCACATGTAAATCGGTCAAGTCCAACACTGTGAATACACACGTACGGACGAACAAAAATCCATTGACCACTTCCTCTCTCTCTTCGTCAACACCACTCACTAGCTACTGTCCGGTCAAACACCACACACCTGACCGTTTCGCCGCCGCGGCCACGCCCACACGCGGCGTCGCCGGCTACAAATACCGCAGCTCACCGGACAACATTTCATCGTCGATCATCAACCGCATCAGCATCCATCCATCCATCCATCCGCCGCGCTCGAAGCTCGATTATCGCAACTCGCCGCGACGTGATCATCGGACATCAGACTGATCGCCGGAATTAATGGCATCAGCCTTGGCATCGCCGACCTCGCCGTCGTTCCTCCCGGCTCACCTCCTGCGGCCCCACGCCGCGTCGTCGTCTTCCGGCCTGCAGCTCGCCGGCGCAAAAGTGTTGGTGAGGGACGCTCCGCCCGAGACAGGCGGAGGCCCGCACCACAATGCCATCCTCCTCCGACAGCCGCCGGTGATGCTGGCGGCGGCGGCGGGCATTCCGGAGCAAGGCAGTGGCCCACACCACAACGCGGTCCCGCAGTGGAAGCCCAGGGGAGGAGGAGAACTCCGACTGCCCGCGTCGCCGCCGGTGATCTTGGCGGCGGCGGGCACCACTCCGGAGAGAGGCAACGGCTCCAAGACCAACGCCGTCCTCAGGCGGCCCACGCCGCCCGGTGGCGCCGGACCTAGAGAAGGCCGCGGCGGACGCGGCGGCGTGATCCACGCCGTCGCCGACTCCGCGCCGCAGAGGCCAGGCTCGCCGGCGGAGGGCGCCGGCGGCAATGGTGGAGCTGTCCATGCCGCTCCTGCTGCTGCTGCTGCTGCCGCCTCTTCTTGAGCACAAAACTAATGAAAAACGCACAAAATTAAATCAAATTAAATTAAGATGTGATTACAAAGATTCGTAATTTTGTAAGATTTTGTAGCTAGATTACTGTATGTGATGTAGTAGTACGTGTACATGTACATGTGTGAGTTGAGGTTCAGATAAAAATGTCTGAATTTCAAATTATGTGAATAAAATCAAGCAGATTATCAAAAGTTGGTCTTGCATATTCAAGTTCCATCTTTCTACTTTCATTTTATATATATCAGCTCAGATCCTGTGCGTGAATCCTTGTAATTGGGAAAGAATTTTTGTCACTCGAATAGACACACAATTATTTCATACGTGCTATCTAAAAGTCATTGAAAAGTTTTTAAAAAATTGATAACATAGCTCAATACGTATACTAAATTGTTAACCGTGGTTTACCCCAGAGTTAGCTGTTTGCTATACACGAGTAAATTAATAATATATTAAACCCAGTTTGGTCACATATACAGTTCGATTATTATGCTTGAAAAATTGTTTCACACTTTTACTAGTACCAATTCAACATGATTTGCTGTTAATACCACATTCTGTTCATGATCAACTGCTCTCTAGTTGACCTGAAGTCAATGTTCACACTTGTCGTCTTGGTCTTCATCTCCTAGGTGTTGCAACTTGTATCACTGGCTTCTTTGCAGTAACGACCGGTTCAGTTTGATGGATATATAAAATCTCGGACATTGTACTATTATAATCTGCATCCACTTCAATTCTCGGATTATCTGTGGTCCCCCAATTTCATTCTTTCTGTTACATGAACATAGTAAAACGTAGTCGCAGTTTCCCGATTTTGAGATGTTGTATAGCATGGGGTAGGAAAAAAAGGAAATGCTACGGGTTACCGCACACACTTGGACTATGTTCTTCGTTCAAGGATCACAATCTCATCTTTCTCCTTTTTAGCATGTACGCTTCCCAAAATGTTAAACGGTGTGTTTTTTTACGAAAGTTTCTATATAAAAGTTGTTGGAAAAAATATATTAATTCATTTTTTAATTTTAAGTTGATACTTAATTAATCATGTTTTAATTCATTGCTCCACTTTGAATGCAAAGAGTAGGGGTTCCCAACTCCTCCAAAATAACACAGCCTTAGCTACCAGTACATCTTTGTTTTTTTTAAAAAAAAATCCATGAGCTCTGCAACAATCGTGTTCTCACTAAAACCTGGCACTTAGTAAATAACTAACAATTGTGAAGTAAGTGTAGCTCCATTGCGTTTCCAGTGGTGAAACATATCCATCCGAGTTCACGTTCTAGACTTAACAGTTGGCACGAGTGCTCGTATTTATGGTTAATTATTTTTAAGTGGTAGATGACGTTCCTTTCGGAGATGTTCACAGGAGTGTGTGGGCAATATACCCCTCGACAATGAAGATCTCCACAACAAGGTGATGCCCAGTCTTTAGAGATATGCTCACGCGCATGTGGTAACTTTGTAAATACGTGGTCTTTGGAAGTGTTTATATGAATGAGTGTACGCACGTTTATACGAGCTTCTCTATCTCACTGTACTGTATTCCAAAAAAAAAGTATAGTACCAAGTATATGAGCATGGTATGATGACTTAATTAACCTTAAACCTTACTTTTTTTTAGATAATAGAATAAATCACAGCATTTGCTTCAAAGAAGCTATTGCTAATTATTACAAAATTCGCTCAACAAATAGCACAAACCATCCTCTCAAAGAAGAGCACAAATTATCCTCTCAACAAAGAGCACCAAAGAGCAATAAAAGATGCACAAACAAATGACCTCCAACATAAGACAAAAATCCAATATTATTGGAACCTATTTGTAAATCTCCATCCATTGACGAAAATCTGCATAATCATTGACTCTAGATTACGACATGCAACATACATGAGTTCACTGCTATCATCAAATCTCTGTAGTTGTGTCCAAATCCAGAGCAAGTGCGTTACCCTGAAAATTACTTGCATATATGATTTAGACGGGGATTTATCAAACATCATATTATTTCTACTAAACCATAGAGCCTAACATATAGCAGATGCTTCTACAATGATAAGTTTTTTTTAGTTTTTCATCAATTCCCACAAGCCAATTCTCAATAAATGAGATATACTATGTGGATGATATAGACCAAAAGAAATATATATTGATCTCCAAAGTAATCTAGCAAAAATGACATTCAAAAAAAATAAATGATGAATCGTCTCATTTTTCATAAAAAAAACATCTTATGCTACCATTTTAATTCCTTCTCATCAAATTAGTTAGAACTACTCCTTTAAAAAAAGCACATAAAAATCTTAATTTTAAGAGGTATTTTAAGTTTTCAGATAGTCTTTTTCTTGTTGATATGGTTATTATATACTCTACATAAATAAAACGAATTGACCATTTTGATAGAAATTCCATTTGAATATATCATTTTCTTTGATCAAATCTTACTAGGTTTTGTGGAATATATAGTATTACTGTTATATATCCTTTCGTCTTAAAAAAACTTAATTCCAACAATAATCCTGAACACATGCGTGTATATATTCATTGCGAGAATTGTTTTTTTTTTATGGAGTAGTATTACCTAACGACCAGGCAAAAAAAATGCTACATTGGCCTACTAACACGAATGACCTGGACTTGGGTCGTTGGGAAAAAAACAAATATTGCTTTATCAAAAATAAAATAAACACGCTTTAAATAATTAACTAATTACTCATAATTAATTAATTGCGAAAACATATAGTATTATATGACGACGACTGGAGTGGACTGACTATTGATCTGTTTACATAAGAGTAGCAGAGCGAGATAGAGTGATCAGTGCAGCAGCAGCAGCTAGCTCTCTTCTCCTCCAGCGACTAGCTAGCTTAGCTTAGCTAGGAGCCTAGGATATGGCAGCCATGGCCTCCTTCATGGCACTGGCCGGCGCGTGCCGCCGCCGGCCGCAGCTCCTCCGGCCATCGGCGGCTCGCCGCCTCAGCTTCGTCTTCCTCAGTCGTCCATTTCCTCCTGCTCCTGCACCCTTGTTGCAGCTGATCCAGCGGCAGCGCCATCGTTCTTCTTCTTCTTCCAGCATCTCGGAGAACGGTGCGGCAGCGCCGGTGACCGAGAATCTGCAGGCGGCGGCGGCGAGGCGGCGGAGGCAATCGGCCGGCGGCCGCCCGGCAGCTCCGAGGGGAGGCCGCGGCGGCGGCGGCGTGAGACCGACGCCGCCCGGTAACCCGAGAGAAGCGCAGAAGGGCGGCGGGGTGATCCACGCGGTGGCGCCGCCACCGGCAGCGCCGACGAGCAGCAAGCCTAAGCCTGAGCCGCCGGGCTACCCGAGGGAAGGCGGCGGCGGCAATGGCGGAGTCGTCGACGATGTTTCTCCTTCTTCTACCGATACCTCGACGTCTTCTTCTTCTTCCTCCTCCTCTTGAGGATCGAGAGATTGAAAAAAGAGTGAAGAAGAAGCTATGAATTGCTACTGCAACATCTCCATTGATCGATTGGATTGCTTAGCTTTGCTGCTGCTCGTTTAATTTCCTCTGTTTATGTTTAGCACTGGATTAATTAGTTGCAAGTAGTTCAAGTTCAGGATATATATAATTTGGGTTGCTGCATATTTGCAAATTGTAAGTTAATTTGTAACATGTAGTGTTTGTATAATTGTATTGTATGGTGTATATATATATATTTGTACTCTACTCGATCGATTAGAAGAAGATTTAATTTAGTGATATCGTTCTAATGAGCAGGCCATAACTGCAATTAATGTTCAGCTTGATTCATCTACGACCTGAACTGGATAATCTTATCGTTACTTTTGAACAGGCAGGCGTAGCTAGTCAGTACACTCATTGTTAGTTGGTGCAGTTGAGCAAATGACAAGAGAGATAGATACATATACATAGTACTAGTAGTTAGTAATGTGCATTAGGTACTCAGTACTAAGTCTGGATGATTCTTGAGCAAACAGATGAGACAAACAGGTAGGGCAAGATGTGAGGTACATGAAGCTAATTAACAAGTACCCTCTCCGGCCCACGGTCAAGATTCGTATTGCTAAGTTGCTGTTTAATCTAATTTTAGTTTGCTATGGCCGTGTTTAGTTATTTTGGTAAAAAAAATTTGACATATACGGACACACATTTGAAGTATTAAATGTAGACTAATAACAAAATAAATTACATATTCCGCCTGTAAATTGCGAGACAAATCTATTAAGCCTAATTAATCTATCATTAGCAAATGTTTACTGTAGCACCACATTGTCAAACCATGTCGTAATTAGGCTCAAAAGATTCGTCTCACAATTTACATGCAAATTGTGTAATTGGTTTTTTTTCTACATTTAATGCTTCATACATGTGTCCAAATATTTGATGTGACGAAAAAGTTAAAAATTCGAAGGGACTATATTTCAAAATGATACGAGTAATTAACTATAAGCACATATATCATATCCCACTGGTCCGTTCCAGCAGACAAGAGCAGTACTGAAGCCTTGCCAGGTCATGCATGTACTACTCATCAAGCCAAACTATGATATACTCATGATATAAGAGATTTTAAGTTTTTTTTATATTGTTTGACCACTCGTCTTTTTCAAAAAAGCTTAAAGTACTTTGGATAATAAAATAAGTCAAAAAAATAAATAATAATTCTAAATTTTTTTTTGAATAAAACGAGTGGTCAAACAGTGTATGAAAAAACTCAAATTCGCTTATATTATGAGACGGAGGGAGTATATTCGTGTAAATAATCTGGCAATGCAATGCTAACTACGAGTTGGTGGCAATCGAAATCGAGTTGGTAGCTTAGGTTTCAATGCAGGAGAGAGCAGTAGTAAATCGAGGTAGGTGAGAGTGATCGGCAACAGGAGCAGGTTTTAGTAATTAAATTCGTCCAAGCTCTTTATAGGCTGCTAGTGTTTGTCTGCATCGTTTTGGCTTTCATCTGCATGCATGCTCAGCTCAGCTCCATTTCGATTCATTTAATTTCTTGAGTTTGGAGAGCAGGTGGAGAGTTTTCAAGACGAGATAGGCAGCAGAGACCTCGGACGACTGTTTGATTTTGATTTTTTTAGCCAATTATTATCGTTAATTGTCTATTTGATTATTATATGAAATAAATTTAGATGTTTTTTTTCGAAAATTCATTTCTTTTACCGAATTTTAAAAATAGACTTAACAGAACAATTTAAAACAAGTCGTCTAAAAGCTTTTCTTTACAAGAAAACATGGTTTTCAAAACGTGATGTAAATGATCCATTTCTAATAATCCAACGAATAAGCTGAAAAGATCGGCAATGCATATATGGCTCAAATGACGGCAGTTTGCGTACGTTTGTATGCGCCCTTGGACACTAAGGTTGATTAATTAATTGCATGCCAGCAACACTTATTATCAAGAACTTTTTCGCGTTGATCATGTAATTGCTCAGTTTGACCAATCGTTAATGGGATCTTCAATATGACAGTAACAGTTTGTGCATGTGAGTATCAAGTTGATGAGGGCAATTAGCAGAATCAATACGTGCTTTCAACGTAATTTTAGTAGTGGCTAGATTGTTTGTCTCTTACAATATATGTGAATAGACGCATTTGTAACAACATGGATATGGTGTTACGTGTATAGTAGTGACGGAGACAGTGCCCTATCACCACGAACGGGTGCCCGCGCTCCATGCATGCCACAACACACTACTCCCAAGGTATATGCAGCGTTATGTACCTTGCATACTTGCCTCATAGGTTCTAATTAATGGAGATTAATTAGATGATAAATCAGAAAACGAGAAAGCAAGGGCCAAACCATCAAGCTGTAGCCATAAAAAACATCAAAGGCCAAATAGGTTCAAAACAATATAACTTACTAGCACCTAGCACCTATGCTCAATATAATACTAGCCTTAAAATCTAATTTATCTGCAATAACATTAATCTTATCCAGGCATCAGAAAATTTCTAGATCCGTAACGGGTGTGCAGTGGTGTTTGCGCGAGTACGTGTGCCGTGTAATCTTAGAAGATAAAAAAGAATCAACGTGCAAGGCAGGGGCATTATTGGCAAATCCACCTTCAAATTGTCCTGGACTAAAGCAGTAGAGCAGCAGAGAGCTCACCTCCCTCTCATTATCAAAGAGAGATATGGAGGAGGAAGACGACGAGAAGGTTGTGAAGAAGAGCAGCGCTAGCGGCGGCCTGCACGGCGAAGAGCAGGTCGATGGCGGACATGTCGTCACGGCGGAGACGGAGATGGCGGCGGCGGCTGCACCGTCGCGGCAGCCGCAGAGCATTCTCATCCGTGCCTTCGCCGGCTGCCTGCTCGCGCTGTGTGGCGGCGGCGGCGGCGATCCCTCCGATCCGCCGCCGCTGCGTCCACGGCCACACGGCGCCACCGCGGCCGTCACTGATACTACTTCTGCCGCCGCCGCCGCCGCCGCCGCTCATCATCTTCAACACGAGGCAGACGGAGGCAGCAAACATGTTGTAACCGTAAGTGCATCATTCATATAAAGCACTGGAAGTAACTATATTTTTTTAATATAAACTTAATGGGTACAGGGTTTCAATTTGGAAATTAGATTTTATGCCGGGGATGACCGAAATTTCAGAAATTTCTGGTCGAAATTATTTGAAAATTTAACTGAATTTGAATAAAATTTGATCAAATTCACAAAAAATTCAAAAAATCAAAAATTTCGGACAAGATTTGAGCATGCCGGTGGAGGCGAAATTACCAAAATTTCAAACCATACATTGGTATCAAAATTTTACCGTGTATCTCGAGATATTTTTCCAACAATGATAAATCTTCTCTTTTTTTCTTTTATACTAAGCCTAACTTAATTAGTTTGAGTTTTTATGACAGTTGTTGATCGATAGGTTATGTATAAGTATTTATAGAAATAAATATATAATTTAAAAATAGTTTACAACCATTTGTGTTAGTCATATATTGGTACTGCCAAAATCTAGAAAGTTTTGTCACTACCAACATATATATATCAACATATGTTTGTTATTCACAACTTTTGGTGGCAAATCTAACTTTGCCAAACACAGATTAAAATGCTAACAACTTGATAGGGCAAAATTTAGCTTCGAACAAAAACAATCTAGAGTTTTTGGAGATATCATACTTTGATAACGATAGTTCGTTTAATCAGTAAGGTTGTATTTAGTTTCACACCAAAATTGGAAGTTTGAAGAAATTGGAATAATGTGACGGAAAAGTTGGAAGTTTGTGTGTAGGAAAGTTCGATGTGACGGAAAAGTTGAAAGTTTGAAGAAAACATGTTGGAATCTAAACAGGGCCTAAGTCTGGTAATTTGAAACAAGGTCATCTTTAGTTTGTGGGAGGTGTGAGCATATATATACACATCCCCATCAAAGTTTGGGTTCTCGTTGAAATCATTTTCAGTGCTATCTTTTCTACATTATTTGTACCGAGTTCTATTTTAGTATCTTTTAATTGCCCCTCAAAAGTACTAATATACTAATACATTTTTTCTTTTTTAAATTTGTAATAAGTATTTAAGATGTCGATGTGTATCTCTTATTATTGTTACTCCCTCCACTTCATAATATAAGGATGTATTTTAAGTGAATGTATCAGGATGTGTCATATTAATCCACCAAAATTTTCTTATATTATAGGACAGAGGGACTACTCCGTAATTTTCTATCACATTTTCAACTGAGCTAGAGAGATGTATCCGTATCGTCGTCTGCCGTATGGCAGCTGCCATCTGCTATTACTGAGTCGACCACATAAATATATTTATAGGTTAGTTAAATAGTTTGATCCATCAGTAGCACTAACGGAAACTGCCGTACGGCAGAGGATACGAGCGCATAGAGATGGTATTGAAGATTTCGGTTAATTAAATATTTCATATGGTGTCCTTAGTTGCGATACTGTATATATTTGGGCCCAAGTTTAACGTGGTTTTATTTCAGGATCGTATTTTTACATTTTAATCAGCATGTACAAAGCAATAATTTTGACACATATGCAGGAGGATTTATTAGGCACTAATCGGCCAATGCTGCTGGCTAGAACAAGACCTCCAAGAGGACCCGGTCCTCCAAGAGAAGGGAGAGGAGGAGGTGGTGGATCACACAACTAATTACCCTAATTAAGTTCACAGCTTAGATTAATCTTTCTGCTCTGAAGTTTGTCAAGCACTTTTAGCCAGGAAATTAGCTAGGAATGTACAAGTTTTGTACTTAGAGAAGGCATATTTTCGGATGTAAAAACAGATCGATATACACAACTATATGTGCAAGTACAGAGTTGATTGTTTTTTACATGTCAAACAGTAGCAAATCTGGTACATAATTAACAGTACCATACTCTTTCCATTATATAAATATAATTAAGTAACCTCTTAGTTGTTGATCAGGTCAATATCAAGTGTTCAGACAACTGACCAGCAAAAGCAAGAGAAATTCAGGATGTGTGTGAGAGATGCTGCAGTTCACATCTGGTTCAGTGGCCTTTCCATGGCTTAGCTGAACCTAACCCTGCAAATTGGTATACTACTAGTTTAGTTTGAGTTAATTAGTGAACGAGTTCAGTGTGCAGGTTTAGTTTATTCAGTATCTACAAATGCATGAAAAAGGCTGGGAATATTGTTTCTGCTTAAGTTGACTGCCAGGGAGCAGATAAGGCCTGGCACTGCCTCTTCTGTTCTGGCTTGTGATGAGTTGATGGACAGTGAAGCAAGAACTATATTGTGCTGAGCACACATAATATGCTCACTAGCCCTTGATTGTAAAAGTTATTTCCTAAATAGAAGATTAAGTAGTATCTAAAAGAAGAAGATTATACTCTACATCTCTTTAGCTTGCCACTAATCAGGCATGTATGCATGTGCTGGAAATATTCCTCTTATAAACTTTTGGAGCCACAAACATTGACCTTGCCCTAACAGTACTAGGAATGATGCATGGTTAATTCCTGTACAGATTTATGTGTAGTATATATTTTTCTAATTGATTTCTGTGTAGTATATTCAGATGGATAAGAATAATTATAACACAGTTGAAAGGGAGATGATCACAAAAAGAAGCACAATAGTACACACAAAAGACAGAAAAAGAAAGATACTTCAGGGGTTAATAGTTACCAAAGACTGCAGTCAGTCAACAGACTGCATTCAACAAATGATGATTCTATTCTCCTCCAGTCAGTCAACAGACTGCATTATTGTAGCAAGTTTCAGTGAACTTCTGGAAGAACAGATGTTGACTAAACAAATGGAGATAAACACCTAAAATATTTCCACGTTTATCTTTCACCAACAGATCACTGAATATTAAATTTCAGAAGAGCCAAAGCACTCTGCAGAGGTAGACAGTTTCTTTACACACATGGACGCTATCTTAATCAAGTCTCACATCTGAATGATTAATCACATCCCTTGCCAAAGCATCAATAAATAGAGCTGAAATGCAACCCCCATTGCTCACAAACCCCAAGAATTTCACCAAAAGGGAGTGCTTACTCTGAGCTAAAGAAAGAGTACTCTGAAGTCTGAAGTAGTCTTACTTCTTCCAAGCAATCTGAAGTCTGAACCTTAGAATGGATCAGAAGGATTAGCTGCAGATGAAGGAGAATACATTCCAGGAAGGAACAGCCATGGCGTCGTCCTCCTCATCATCGTCCTTTCTCGCTCATCCATCGTCGCTGCTGCGTCAGGTCGTCCATGGCTTCGCCGGCTACCTCGCCGGCCTCTGCCGTTCTCTCCAGAATCTGAAACCATCTGCAGCTCCGAAACAAGACGCTGACGACGAATTTGCCGTCAATAACACTGCTGCGTCAAGCTCCGTAAGTAAAACATACAACTGTACCAATTAATTTCAATAAATTTCATGTAATTGGTTCGTTCAAAGAACAATAAATTTCATGTAATTGCATGATCTAGCCATCTAGGTGCTCAATTGAGCGAGCCCAGTGATTGATCAGCAAGTTTGGTTGCTTTTTTTTTGGTCTTCTGAGCTGATGATTAATTTTGGTGTGTCCTTGTGAGAGCAGGAAGAAGTTGAGAATGTTCAGATGAGAACAAGAGCAATGCCGCGTTCTGAAAGGCCGGTTTTAAGAGAAGGGAACGGGGGAAAAGGCGGAGCACACCACAACGCTGGCCTTTAGCTTCAATCGATGCAAAGCTTTGATCGATCGATCGACGCGATCATTATGTACAATAATAAGTTCGGGTAATCCATGCATGGATTACTGTTCTTCGAACCGAGCAGTGGCTTTGATGATTTGTTACCCTGACTGTACGAGGAAAATATCAAGTGGAAATAAAATTTGCACTCACAGATTTAACCATGAGTAAAAACTTAGTAAAAGTTTTACTGTGGATAAATCTCAAACATATTCCTTATCCTATACTTGTTTTCGGGTTTTCACAGTATATGGGAAGTGGATTTTTGTCTCTCGAGGAGACATCCCCTCGTTTTGTGCATAACGTTCAAAAAGTTATAAAAAAATTTGAAAAATTTTGTTAAGATAGATCAATATATGACATATTTTTGCAAACAAAGTTAAAATCCGACTTATACAATTCGAAACAAAAATAACAAATTTGACAGTGAATTACGCATTCTATTCCTAGTCAAATTTGTTATTTTTGTTTCTACTTGTATAAGTTGAACTAGCATGGTGGCCCGCGCAGATTGCGCGGCTAGCATCATTACATTTTTTTTCTCATATAATAGTATATATGTTTTCTCATTATATTATTCAAACATATTAAAATGACAACATAATTTTAAATTTTGCAATAACTTTACAAAACTACTAAAGTGTAATATTCATATTATATTTTATATACGTGTTAGTTATTTATTATTTTTAATATCAAATTTTAGTTATTTGTAAATTATATATATTCCTATATGTACTCTAGACTCGTCTTTTAATATTTCTATTTTTTAATTCCGAATTTTCTGTAAATTGTATTTCTATATAGACTCAATGTTTTTCCTTCAATATTATTTATTTTTATTTCTGAATTTTCATATTATATTTTATATATGTGTTAGTTATTAATTATTTTTAATATCAAATTTTAGTTATTTGTAAATTATATATATTCCTAATGGACTCTAGACTCATCTTTTAATATATTTTTTAATTCCAAATTTTCTGTAAATTGTATTTCTATATAGACTCTATGCTCTTCTTCTAATATTATTTATTTTTATTTCTGAATTTTTTATTATTTCTAATTGTATTTCTATGTGGACTCTAAACTCATCTTTTAATATTCTTTAATTTTTAATTTCAAATTTCAGTTACTTCTAAATTGTATTCCTATATTTGTATTCCTATATTGATCTTAAACTCTTCTTCCCATGTTTTTCTTAATTTCGTATTTTAGTTATTTGTAAATTATATTTTTATACGGACTCTAAACTCTACTTTTAATTTTATTATGTTTATTCCAAATTTTAGTCAGTTTTAAATTCCTATATGAACTCTATACTCTACTTCAAATATTCCTTATCTTTTAATTCTGAATTTCTGTTTTTTTCTTAATTGTATTTCTATATGGACTCTATACTCTACTTCTAATATTCCTTATTTTTAATTCCAAATTTATATTATTTCCTAATTGTATTTCTATATGGACTCTATACTCTACTTCTAATATTCCTTATTTTTAATTCTGAATTTCAGTTATTTCCTAATTGTATTTATATATGGACTCTAGTCTCCTCTTCTAATATTCCTTATTTTTTTATTCCGAATTTCAGTTATTTCCTAATTGTATTTCTGTATGGACTCTATACTCTACTTCTAATATTCCTTATTTTTAATTCTGAATTTTAGTTATTTCCTAATTGTATTTCTATATGGACTCTAGTCTCCTCTTCTAATATTCCTTATTTTTTTATTCCGAATTTCAGTTATTTCCTAATTGTATTTCTATATGGACTCTGGTCTTCTCTTCTAATATTCCTTATCTTTTAATACCGAATTTCAGCTATTTCTAAATTGTATTTCTATATGGACTCTGCCTTTTCTTTTTCTCTGATTATTGTGAGAATTTCTAGGCCATGAGAGCGAACGTGGAGACTCTTTTTTTATTTCTTTAATAATATAATAGATTTGAATATATATGTTTGTTAAGTGACATATCACATGGCTATTCCTGCTCTTATAGACTTATCCTTCTCTTTAATTTCTCTCAGCTCTCTCTTATGCCGATCTTATCCTCTCCTTCTTCCTTACGCTGCAGAGATCTTAACCTCTCCTTTTTGTGCTCTGCAGCGAGGAGCGAGCAAGGGCGGCGGCGGCCAGTGCGCGCCGGAGACGGGAGGGCAGGCGGCCGGGCTGGGGAGGTGGCTGACCCTGAACCATGATGATCTGAAATGGACGAAATTCAAAATTTTGGATGGATTTTGACCAAATTGAGATGAAATGGGAGTTCCACTGTCTTGTTGAATTTCAGACGTTTCGATCTGAATAACCCCGAACATCTTGCCAATTGTTCATCTGAATCGCTTAAGGTAGGCATAGTGATTGCAATTTGGACACCACAATCCACAATCCCCACCCCCCCCCCCCAACCCCCCTCCCGGGCAAGTAATTATATCGCCCAACATTTTCGAATTTCTCTCAGAATTTATGAATTTGGTTAAAATTTAAACTAATTTCGTGTCAAAAAGTACCAAAAACCCCCCAAATTTTTTAAAAAAATTTCGGTGTCAGCGATCAAATTTCGTCCAAATACGACAAACTTGGGAGTTAAACAAGAGAGTAGGTTGTTGGGTTTTGATCCAATACTCTAAAAATATGAAATAGGACTACATGAAAACAAATCAGAAAATTCATAAACGCCAAACTGTATATGCATTGGTGTGCGCCACATGTGCGTGTTAATCAATCTCTCAAAAATTAAGCTAATCATCATTGATTATCCCCAGTGATGACTGATGACAGCTTATATAATTATCCTGATATTTCTGATGATCACCAGGTTAATTAAATTAATCAATCAATCAGATTTTGCTAATAATAAAACATGGAACCCGATGACGCCGGTGGGACGCTCTGCTGATACTGGAAGCTCTGCAGGATGGTCGCGATCGTCAGCGACTCGTCGTCGCCGGCCTCCACTTCCTCCTCCGCCGCCGCCGGCGACAGGTAATCATCATCGTACAGCGGCGACGGCGGCGGCGGCGGTGGCGGCGGTGGCACTGCCGGAGACAGCGCGTGCTGCGGCGGCGAAGGGTGGTGGTGGTGCATGTCGGGGTAGAGGAAGTTGGTGCGCGCGGCGGCGGCGCCGGAGATGGAGATGGCGGAGAGGTCGTAGGCGACGGCGGCCTCCTCGGCGGTGTCGAAGGTGCCGAGCCAGTGGCGCTCCTTGGTGTACGGGTTGCGGATCTCCGCCGCGTACCGCCCCCACGGCCGCCGCCGCACGCCCAGGTACTCGCTCGACGCGCGCGCCCGCCGCCGCCGCATCATCATCTGCTGCGGCGTCGTCGTCGCCGCCGCAGTCTCTTCCTGCCGGTGATGCTGCTCCGCCGCGTCCGCCATTGCTGACGTACTTAGCTTAGCTTAGCTCTGCCTGTCTGTACTGTGGATGTAGGTGGTAGGGCTTAATTAGGTTTTTAGCAGCCATGGAATTTTATAGGAAAGCATGGAGGTGATCGACAAAGCTTGGTGGAGACGTTGCGGGCTCTGCATGCATGGCATCGGAAAGCGTGCCTTGCTCCATGTTTTCCTCGACATGATAAGCCCATCATCGATCACTTTCATGAGTTGGCAATTTGTAAGTTGATCCTACATTTCTACTTACTCCCTCCGTTCCATATCGTAATTCATAAGTTGTTCTTACCTTTTTTTTTTCTAGTCAAATATTTTAAAGTTTAACTAAATTTATTAGAAGCTATACTAATATTTTTAATATAAAACAAACATATTATCGAAATATATCAATGTTATGTTTCATGAGGCTAACTCAGTGTTTGTAGATATAGCTAAATTTTCATTCAAACTTAATCAGATCTAAAGAAATTTAACAATATTTTTTATAGTTAATGAGATCGACATACAACCTTTATATATACGTTTTTACATAAGATTAAATATGAAAATAGAAATAACAACCTAAGTGTCATGCCATTACCATCATCATTTTATTTTTCTTATAAAAAACTTGGATATGTCATTTTCATATGACTAATAAAGCTTACTTTCCTAAACAATAATCGTAGTCAAAATTAACTTATGTTAATAGTATACATATTCTAAAATTAATGACATTCTTACACGACCAGAAGAAAACTCCCTAACCCAATCAATTCATAACATGTTGTTTGTGTCATCTTTGACCGCAAATTATGCATGTACTCCCTCCGTTTCAGGTTATAAGTCTTTTTGATTATGGTCAAAGTCAAACCGCTTTAAATTTCACCAAGTTTATATAATATATAGTAACATTTTCGACCAAGATAAATTTATTATAAAAATATATTTAATTATTGATTTAATAAAACTAATTTGATAATGTAAATATTATTATATTTGTATATAAACTTAGTCAAACTTAAAGTAGTTTAACTTTAACCAAAGTCAAAACGAATTATAACCTAAAACAGGGAGGGAGTATTTGAGAGGTATCATCAACAAAACTAGAAACAAGGTTGCACAAAAGTATGGCGGGTGCGTAGTGAGGTGCTCGTGTATGTCTCTTCCGTGTAATCGTAAAAAGTATATATACATTATGGACAGGTCACAACATGGTCCTGGCACCTGATGTTGCACAAACTGTTGACACACTTAACTGACATGTCTATAAAAATGTAGCAGGGCGAATGTTCTCTGCAACTTTGCGTCTTAATCCAGTCCAGTCTCGAGAGTACAAAGCACTAGTACTGAAGAGTACACAAAGCTCATTCAGAGACAACTCATCAGAAACCTCTCCAAGGGTCTTCTGAAAACAGATTAATATATATACCCCCCAAGTTGGAGGCAGAAACATCTGTCAGCCAGCTGATCTTTTATCAGCAGGCAAGGGTGACACATTGAATGTCAAGAAAATGTTAATTAATCCATACACTGCGTGCACCCCACTAGTATAGACAGGCACCATCAGCTTCAGCACCTTTACAGAGTCAGTGCCCCTTGTTTCCTGACCTCTGTTTACATACCTAATACCCAAATGATATATAGTGCAGATTCATATTCAAACAAAATACTAAGAACAAAAGAAACAATATATATGTATGGCCAACAGCTGTGTTCAATTTTTACAATGTCATCCAGGGTTAACATGTACAAATGGAGATAAATTCACTAATAATGTTATTACATTTGACAAGGCAATAAGTCAAAATTGCCTCAGATATCTTTTTTTTTCATAAAAAAACTGCTTACTCTGGAGACTTCAATAAAAAAACACTACACATAAATTTGAGTATGTATCAAACCAAACAATACGTGGATTTCCATATCAGGTATTTTACTATTTTACTATCATATAATGGATGGATGAAGAAGATGAACCGCTGCATCTAATAATTCGCATGAAAGAGAAATACAACTAAGTAACCTTGTTCAGCTAGATGCATTGCAACCAAAATTCCTCATATGCCAGAGAATCAGAGATGAAATCCAATTTTTTAGCTGAACCCCAAAATTTAAAGAGAAAAAGCTCCCCCCAAAATTAATGGCGGCTCACTTACCAGCTTACTACAGACAATGACGGCGAAGACGACGGTGCGAACTGGAGAAACGAAGTCGAGCGGGCCGCTTAATTGGGTGGGCTACTTTCAATTTGTGGGAAAATTCAGTTCCCGAGGTCCACGAAAGCCCCCGAGCACAGAACAGAACGGCCCAATAGAAATAACAGCCCAAATAAGACAACCACATCCAAGAGAACCAGCAGGGTTTACGTTTCCGATGAAAGCCGACCAGTTGTCCCGAAAACCTGACTTCCTGACACGGTTTGGAATTAGGTGCTGACGGAAGATTATGATGTATTTTGACCCAATTCAAATTTGAAATAAAAAAATCATTTAAATACCATGATATTTAAAGAACTTAATGGCATAAATCCCGTAAAAATAAGTAATGGAATAAAATATTTTCAAAAAAGCAAGTAGCTTCAACTAGTTAGGGTTATGGTGGTAGTACCTGTCCACCCAGGTGCTCGTATTTACGGCTAAAATTATTTTTTCAATTGTCGGTGATGTGCCCGTTGACAATGAGGCGCAATACACTGTTGAGGATATGTTATGCGCGTGTATACGGGAGCATGCGCCTTTACTCTATGTTGGTCCAACTGTGCGCAGCAACGAGCTCCGCTTTGGCCTCTCCGTGTGAGCCCGAGAACAAACCAGGGGCAAGCTCGAGCTCCACTTTGGTCTCTCTGCGCTTTGGATGTCACCCTCAATTGTTGTTGGTCAAGCTCACCCTTGGCCGCGGGCCCTCGAGCTCGTCCTCGGCGGTCACCCTTGGGCTCGGGCTCTCATCCCAGTGTCATCCTATAGTAGTCCAAAGAAAGAAGAGAAAAGAAAAGGGAGAAAATAAAATTTCTAAGTAGGCCCTAATTGTTAGTCGGTGTAGGATTGATGATGGTGTCACGTCAGCGTTTGTGTGATGGAATTTAGGCCGTCGATGATACATTTAACAAATTTAAGGGTTTAAAGGTGCAACTTTAAGTTTTTGACATAGATGACGCCCACTTACAAGTTTAAGTATCATCAGTACATTTTACTGAAAAGAACAACCTCAATAAGAGGCAGAAGCCTTTCTCAAAAAGTTTATAAAATCTTTATGATGATATTATCCTAGGCAAATCTACACATACCATACTTTAGTTTTTAAACCAAGCAAATTGACAAGTTCAAAGTATATAAGTTATTCTTAAGTAACAATTATTAATTCCGGAGGGAGTATAGCTGAAGTGTGAATTCACCCATTTATAAACAAGTGAATTACCTCGCACTCGAACCATCGCTAGTTCACTAGCTCACTGTCAGTCAACCCATTGACCCTCGGCCTTCTAAATCCCCGCCCACCCAACACCACACCTCACATGTGTGGCACACCTGCTTTCTTCAGCATGCACACCTCCTCCACTGACACTAGAGAGCGCCACAACTGTTGATGCTATGCCAAAAATGGTTGTAATGGCAACTCTCCCTCCTCTTGCCCCCTCCACCTCTACTTCCCTACCATTCTCTTCCCTGCCTTTTCTTCCCCAACTATATATGGAGAAATCTCCCTGCACCACCTTTCTCCCTTACATTTGGTGGCTCCCATCACCACATCATCCACCACCTAATTATGTGTTTGGTTGGAGGAATTTGGTGGGTTGGGATAGGTCCATCCCATTTTTGTAGGTGTTTGGTTGTAGAATCAAGTGGGTTGGGTTGGATCCAAAGAGAATATTCTTGTGATATCCGGGATGGGCTGATCCGCCAAAATCTGGTGGACCGCGCGGACCCAGCTAGCTCCCACGGGTCATGTGCAGCGCATGCGTGTAGTTATGGGCGGGGACCCTATGTCTCTCGTACGCGCACAACCCCTATCCCCTTTTTTTTTCTCTTCCCTTCTTCGATCCAGATCTGCGCGATGCGAGATAAGAGGCGGCGGCGACCGCGCGTGTGCCAAGCGACGGTGAGCTTGGGCATGTGCTCTCAGCCGCGACCTCCTCCTCATCCGTCCTCCCTCGCCGGTTACCCAACCTCACCGGCTTGATGCAGTGGCAGGAAGGACCGGCGACTGTGGCAGCAGGAAGGACACAGCTCGTCCCCTCAAGGTAGCAACGGCCGCGACCTCCTCCTTCCTCCCTTGTCCCTTTCCCCATCAACCCTCATCGTTTCCCCTCATTGCAGGATTGCGTCTAGGAATCTGTGGTGGAAGGATGCGGCTGCAGCGGCTTCTGGCAACATCACCTCCTTGCCCTCCACTCTCGTCGTCGCATACTACATAGCTAGAGTAAGGAAACCCTATCACAGAATGAATTTTTGTTTTCATGGTCAGATCTGTTCAAGTATTAATTTGTGATGTTGGCAAATCAGTTCAAGCAACCCTAGCACTGTCCTTTGTTGCAAAGAAAATCAGTTCAAATATTAATGTGTGATATTAGCAAGTATTTTTTTATGAGATGATTTGTGCTTCAGCATGATATGTCAACATGTTTATTTTTCTTTGATTGCTGTATTGTAGATGGATAAGACGACCAAGTTTTAATTTTTGTTGCTGCTTCAAATATATTATTGTCGATGATGACCATGATTATTCAGTGTAGGAAAAGAAAGAGAGGTGCAAGGAAGGGAACTCCTCCCTCTAGCTTCCCCTCCCCCACCCCTACCCTCATTACGAATGCTAACTTTGTAGAGTTTGATGGAGCTCATCAGAGCTCACCGAAGCTAGAGAAGGTTGTACTACATTAATCGTATGTAGAGCAAATGCATGTGAAGATCAAAGAATTTGTAAGATTTTGATTTGATTTTTTTGTTGAATACCATTTAGCACATCCGTACATTTACGTTCCAAATTAATTCTCAAAGTATATAAATTACCCAAAATTAGTTCACTATAAATAAATTAGCACCGTGTATCAACAATCTCCGCGTACAGGCATGAAAAAAGAATTTTTCTTATTTTTACAGTGTATTCTTGTGTAAAAGAGGTGGAGGAGATCGAGATTCCTAATGTGCTATATATAGTAATAAATGTATACACAAGGAGAGTTTATGTACACTACGGTTCTAATAATGCAAAATGAGTTAAATTAGTGTGATTCAAACCAATTTTGTTGGTAATGTTAAATACATTTATATGCTATCACAACGTCAACTATATTGTATTTTGCAAAAGTGTTAATCACATTTTTTGCCAATAAGTGTTAATAACATTTTTTGCCAATATACGATATTAATTACATTTTCTTGCAGCTATTATGTTATTTTCACTAGATAGCTTAAAATTGAAAGGCACATAACACTTTGCAATCTCTTTTACATCCTCACATGCTAGCAGCCACTAATTATCTATCCATTTTTACATTCTCACATTCAAGCAGGCACTTGTCCATCCATTTTTACATTCTACATGCAACTATGCAAGCAGCCACTTATCTATCTATTTTTACATTCTCACATTCAAGCAGTCACTTGTCCATCTATTTTTACATTCTATATGCGACTATGCAAGCAGCCACTTGTCCATCCATTTTGACAAGCATAAGCGGCAAGAGAATGGCAAAGTGCACACTGAATGCTTGTTATAAAGCAACGTCACTGGATTTTTGACAAAGAGATGAAGCATTTTTGACCGACGGATGAAACACTATGCTCTTGTGTGTCCCATGCATTATGTTGCCTTCCGTATTATGGTCTCAACATTTTTGCAATGAAACAGTACCATATCACACTAGATTATCATTTTTGCACCATATTGCACCACGGCCAACCTACTGTGATAAAATCACACTGTTAATTACATTTTATTTTTGGAAATATGTTAGTTACATATTTCGGAGATATTGTGTGAGTTACATTTTTTTTTTGCCAACGCAGTGTTAATTCCATTTCTTTTGCATATATAGCGTTGATTAATGCATGATCATCAAGATTGAAACATAGGGGCTGTTTGGATGCTTGTTTCAATTTACCAAACTACTATATAGCTAAAGTGTGGCATGCCACAATTTATGTGGCTAAGAAATTCTTGGCCACAAGTTAGGCAAATGTTGGCAAAGGTATGTGCCTATGATAAGTGGGGTCACAAAATAAAAAATTGTGGCATGATAAAGATATGGCAACCAAGCAAACACTAGGCTAAGTTGGTCAAAGTAGCTTGCCAAAGTTGTGGCAAAGTATGGTCACCATCCAAACAACCCCGTAGTGCATAACTCATTGCAATATATCTACTTCATCATATACCATCGATCGGCCAAATATCCTTCCTCCGGCTGGATGAGCACACAAGGCATGAGAAGGTTAGAGTGCTAATCAAATGCCAGTTGTTAAGGTTACATGACTAATTGGTCTCTAAAACTAGAGGATTTTAATGGAAAAACTATGAAAGGAATACAAAAGTTAATACTACCTCCATATTTTAATGTATGACACCGTTGATTTTTTGTCCAACGTTTAACCATTCGTCATCATTTATTTTATTATGACTTGATTCGTCATCCAATGTTCTTTAAGTATGATATAAATATTATCATATTTGCACAAAAAAATTGAATAAAATGATTGGTCAGACCTTGGTCGAAAAGACAACGGCGTCATACATTAAAATACGAAGGGAGTATGAAATGTTGGTAACACCGACGATAACTGGTGGTAGCGGGAGAAGCACTCAATGTATGTCATATGCCAGTTACTTAGACTACCAATTTTGTACATACACATTATAGCTCACTTCCGTTTTCTTTTTCTTTTTCGCTCCACGAGAAAGGATCAAAACCGGTATTGCAAGATATTTGAAATCTAGTTATGTAGTTATTTATGTTGTCCAACTCTTAGACAACTATGAATATGATATTAAAACACTAGTTATTATATATAACACCAGTTACACATAGTATGTAGGGACCTGGGACCCATGACCCCACGTCGTCCCTAGCAGGCAGCTCGGGGGAAAAACGCCACCCCACTCCTCCACCACTCCCTCCGTCTTGCCACTGCAAGAGCAATCCGCCAGTCATCGTGCGGTGAGCCGAGATGGCGGAGGTGAGGCTAGACCCCGGCGGTGAGCCAACGCAAGGAAATCAAGGCGATGTTGGTGCGACAGCATCAACGAAACAACACCACGACGACGATGATGGGAAATTCGGTGTCCTATGGAGAAAGGCGGAGCAACTGGGCCCCTCCCTACTCCTAGGATGGCGGTGGTGGGCTACTCCTCGACGTGCCAGTAGTGGGCCTTCCCCAACCTCCACTCTTCTGGATGGTGATGGAGGTAGAGCTAGGGTTGATGGCATCGTCGAGGAAATCCATGTTAGTCTCTAGTTATACCCTGCTTTGACACCTAAAGAGGACCTTTGAGAAGTCAGAGCTACCGTATCGAGCTAGCGTTCAACGAGCTGTTGGCAACAATGACTAGAAGGGTTCTGCTTAGTTTCAAGCAGGGTTTGGTTGTTGTCTTCTAAGTCAGAGCTGCAGCACTTTTGCGAGCTCGCCAACGATGACCGAAGTCTACAAGGCTCATCAGTCTAACTCTTGTGTGGGGTTTCAAGCTTTTCGTTTGCAAGGCTCATCAGTCTGACTCGACCATGCATCAATGAGTTTGTTGGTCGCGAAGTCGAAGTTGCGGCATTGACCGGACACAATGTGTGGCAACGTTGACATGAGCCCATTTGAGTTATGCTTTGGCACATGCTAGGTTGTTGCCCTTATACTAGTGTTTTCTGGCGAAGTCACAGTTGTCCAATCACGAGGATGATCATGGTATGATGGCAATAATATTGTATCTTTGCCAGTGTGCGGGAGTCTTGTTTCCTTCTAGCTTGCTACTTGTTCATGTGGTAAATGACATTTGTTGAGTGTCGCAGTTGGCTTTCCTGTTCTTGCTGCCTTGGTAGTTTAGGTTAGTTGGTAAAGTGTCGTTATAGTTGTAATTTTTGTCATGTTTTTTCTTAATTAACTGTGCACCTTATTGGTTCTATTTTCTCTTTAAAATAGACATCTTTCTCTTTATATAAAACACCAACAATGGCTTGACCGTTTGGAGAAAAATACACAGTACGTAGCTCTGTCTAGCTACTGGCACTCTGGCCTACTCGAAGGCCATGCAATTTCCAGGATTAGCTCTGAATACCATTTATTGGCCGGCTTCACACCTACTCCATCCGTCCGTGAATATAAGGGATTTTAACTTTTTTTACTTAACCATTCATCTTATTAAAAAAAATTAAAATTATTATTTATTTTATTTGTGGCTTACTTTATTATCCAAAGTACTTTAAACACAATTTTTCGTTTTTTATATTTGCACAAATTTTTTTTGAATAAAATGAGTGGTCAAACGTTACACGGGAATAGTAAATATCCCTTATATTCACGGAGGAGGGAGTACATATTAATGGATCAATTCCGCTTTCTTCAACCTAGCTCGGCCTAACGCAATGTAATCCTTTTACTTGATTACATGCAAGGTACATGTCTTTCCTCCGGCCGAATGAGCATATATGCATGAGAAGAGTAGAGCGGAGCGTTGCCTGGTTATATCAGTTGTCAAGGCCACATCACTGTATAGGTTCTAAAATTGCTGGATTTTAATGAAATGAGTGTCGAAATTAATTTTGTTGTGTCAAATTGCATGCCTCCGGCCACAACCAGCAGTGGGCCATGGCCACTCCATTGCATCTTCATGTAGTAATTTTTAAAATTGGAGGGATTCAATAGAATGGTGTTGAATAGTTTTATATAAAAAAAAATATGATGGTATTTGTATAATGCAACGTCTTTAATTATTTTTACGCCAATAAATTGAATGTTTGTAACCATTAGCATGCATGTTTCTGTTCGGACGCGCTAGTTGCTACAGCTGCTGCGGCTATGATAATTGTAATTGAGCTCTATGCTACTACCGGTTTAAACTGTCGCAGCTGTAGCAATTAGGTAAAGCAGAACACGTTCAATGATTGTAGAATCAAACGACCTAAATTTGTACTCCCTCCAGTTCATTTTAATTGACGTTTTGGACAATAACACGATCTACAAAATATATCTTTGATCTTATTTTTCTATTATAATATACACAATAAATAAATGCATGTTAACTTTTATTATAGTGTTTTGAAAGACAAATCTATATATGTTGTTCTAGTTTCTTTAAACTAAATACTTTTGAAGTTATTAATGGTCATAGTTATAAAAGTTTAACCTCAAACTTGTTCAAAACGTCAATTATTATAGAACCGGAAGGAGTATGCCAGTAATTAAAATGCACTTCTTCTTTTTTGGGAAATTAAAATGCACTTCTGTAAATCTGTAACTAGAAATGTTATAACTTATAAACAACAAACAAGAGGGATAACACAGCCCAGCACGTATGTCCAACTTGAAAGGAGCCTGAGAAAGGAGCCTGAGATATAATCAAATCACAATTGGATACCTTTTGTGACGGGTGCTACACATAGCTATCCTTTGGATTCGTCCTACCGTAACCGATCTTCATCGATCACCTCGAACAATCCGTTTGATATGACCGACGATGACACACACTAGCTAGCTAGCTACCAAACGAACGTTTCGCTAGGCAACAATGGCGCTGCCGTCACCGGTGACGACCACCGTGCCGCGAAGCATGCACGGCGCGCCGGCCGATCATCACGCCCGTGGTTTTGTTCCTTGCAAAGTTGCAAACGTTGTCATTGCTGCAGAAAAAGCCAAACCTCACCAAATCTTAAAAAGAGTTCTATGTAGAATTTGTGCGTAAAATACACTTTTTAGCAGTTCGGTACACATTTTCAGGTGAAACAAGAAAGTAGACGAGGACCTAAGTTGACACGTCTTTATAGTAAACTATACTCCCGCTGCCTAAAAAATATATGATTATATTGACTTTTATATAACGTTTGACCATTCATTTCATTAAAACAAATTATACAAATATCATTTATTTTGATCTAACTTATTTTATCATCAAAGAAACTATAACCTTAATTTATGCTGGTACATATTTATACTAAAATTTTAAATTAATTCCATAGAAAAATTATAAGTTACAACAACTTTTAATAGATCAAATAGTGCTAAAACTACTACTATAAATGCAAAAATAACTGAAATTAGCTAGAATTTTAAAAAGCTTATTTTACTGATAGATGAAAATCCGATCCATCAATTCTGAACCGATACCCGTTTCATATTTTTATGGTCTCAATATTATGTGAGTGGTCTAGGAGCATGGTTAGGCTGAATTAGAAAGGAATAGTGCCCAAGGCACTGTTCATTGTCTTCCCTAGCCGAAGCCGGAAAATAAAAGAGGAGGGAAGAAGGGCACTGTGCTCCAGTGATCAAACGGCGATGAGGAAGGTGGTAGGATATGTCCCATGATGTGACTCGTTCATAGATGGTGGAGGTTGGCAATAAAGAAACCAGAACAGCAAGAACGCAGATAGCAATGACGTGGTCTAGATAGAGAGAGAAATGACAACAACGAGCTCTGGTAATAAACACGACCAGATGAGTGTATCAAAACGCATTCCCAAATAAGGGGGTTCCGTTTTCCTTGAATGTGTAGGAAGAACAAAGATGGAGAAAAAACGACTAACACTATTCATTGTCTTCCCTAGCATAAACAAGAAACAAAAGAGGAGGAAAGATGGGCGCTGGTGCTCCGGCGACCAAATGGCGGCGAGTAAGGTAGCCGTACGCGTCCTAACAATGTGACTCGTCCATAAATGGCAGCGGTTGGCAATGAATAAAACTAAAATAGTAGGGAATACAACCGATAACGATGTGGTCCCAACAGAGAAAGAAACGACAACGACGAGCTCTGGTCATGAACACGACCAAGTGAGCGCGTCAAAACATGTTCCCAAACGAGGAGGTTCCCCTTGAATGCACAAGAGGGAGCGGGCGCAAGGGAGAATAGGGGTGTTGAGAGGAGGGGCGACAGGAAGGAGAGGGGCCGCGTGGGGATGGGAAGTGCAATATTTGTTGGGGATCGCGAGGGAGAGATGGGGGCGCCGAGAGGGAGGAGATGGGCTGCATGGGGAGGGGAGTGCAACATTTTTTTGGTATTGCGAGGAAGAGATGTGGAGCGCTGGGAGGAAGGGCGTAGGGAGGGAGGGGTGAGGCGGACACACGAAAAATAGGTCCGAAAGCTTTACTTATTTTTTAATTAGGTATATAGTTTCTTTAAAATAACATGAATGACCAAACGTAATGTAAAAATTCACGACGTCCGATATTTTAGGAGGGATGGAGTAGAAAAAACTATTACTTTGCTGTTTAACTTTGATTTCTGACACTAACATCAGAAGTTTGATTACAAGACAGGCAAAAATACAAATAATAATATTATTATTATTATTAACTAATTAATTGATAGTGCCAAATGTTACTCCTATGGCACTGAGTAGCATCAGCTAGCCGAGGACCTGCGCCTTGAAGGCGTCCACGTGCGCCGGGTCGATGGACACCGAGAGCTGCACCTCGCCGTCGCGCCGGCCGCCGACGAGCACCATCTCGCCGTCGTGGTTCATCGACACGAGCTCGACGCGCGCCGGCCTCCCGAACCCGAAGTCGGCGGCGCCGTACGCCCCGAACCGCGGGCTCGCCGCCACGTTCGCCATGCGGGAGAAGGGGATCTGCATCACCCGCGCGATCGCCGACCCGTCCGCCGTCCCGGCGAGCGGCGCCGCCTCCATCTCCGCCACCGCCGCCTGAACCGCCCGCGCCGCGCGCAGCAGCCCGCGCTCGCCGCGGAGCTCCGCCGCGTTGGCGCAGCGCGCCAGGCACATCCTCACGCAGTTCCCGAGGTACCCCTCGCCGACGGCGGGGTCGAGCCGCGCCCGGAGGTCGGCGAGGAAGATCAGGTACGTGTCGTCCCCGTCGGCGAGCGCCTTGGACCGGACGAACGCCGCCCACCCCATCGCCGCCAGCGCCACGAACGTCGACACCGGCTTGGCGGCGCCGCCGCCATCGGCAGCCTCCTCCGCCGAGGCGAGCTCGTCGATGCGCCGCTTCAACGCGCGGATGGCGTCGGCGCCGAGGTGGAACGTCCGGCGAGCCAGCCGGAATCGCTGGCTGAAGTCCTGCTGATCCCCGCTCGCCTGCAAGCATCCATGGCGGGTGGTGGTGATCTCGTCAGTAAATTTGCATTCACGGCGAGCGAGAGAGAGATCATGACGCGTGCATGCCATTGCTTGCTCCGCCACGCCACCGCGGCGAGCTCCGCATGCGCTTAACATTGGGGGGAGAAGGAAACCATGGTTGGATGGCGTACCAAGCAAAGGTTGACGACACATACACACTTCGAAGAGGCTACACTACACTACAGTACATGCTTCATGCATGATGGAAGCTTCGATTTTTGTTTATTTATTTGAACTACCAGAAAGATTTTTTGGGCTGTTTTTTTTATTTGGTTGAATTTTATTCAGAATTCAAATACATTACAACCATTTTGCAAATCTCGCTGCCTCGGGACCTCTCTTTTGGAAGATGACCCTGCCTCAGTGTAACATTGTGGAATTGTTGACTTGGTGTTGACCATATATCTGCACATCTCCTACTCTTTTTTTTTTTGTTGTTGCAACTTTGCTTTAGTCCCAAAAATTTATGTATTCTATGAAAATCCTGGTGAATTTCTACATTTTGAAAAATAGCCGTGTGGAAACATCTATAGATAAAATTACGATATCACGGAAATAGGGAATTCTTATATCTTTAAAAATTGAAGTCACTTTTCGTATATCTTGCTTAATGATCTAACAACTCATACGATTGTTCACATTTTCTATTTAGACACAATTTTATATTTCTTCAATAAAAGGTTGAATAACAAATTATTCTAAATGTAAAAGCATTCAAACATAAAAAAACATATGAAATAACAAAATTTTCAGTTAAAATAAACAAAAAATGCAAGTGATGCAAATCTTCTTAATTTTGGACAATTTACGGTTAAACATTGGTGAAATCGAAGAATTTTATTTTTAAGATGTGAAATGAAAGGAGCTAGGAAGTGGGAGAGTGACGATAGCTTACCACGGCCGGGAGCTTGGGCGCGACCAACTTGAGCATGTGGCGCGCGAGCTCGCCGCCGTCGGGTTGGGGGATGGCCGCCTCCCGGCGGTAGTGCGGCGCGCCGAGCGACTTGGTCACCGGAGAGCCGACGCGCGCGGCCGACGACCACGCTTCCATGAACTGCCACACGGCGCGGCCGTCGGCGACGGCGTGGTGCACGGACAGGCCGAGCGCGAGGCCGGCGCCGCCGCCGAGGCGCGTGGCCTGCACGGACAGCACGGGCGCCGGGAGCGCCCGGGTGTCGAGCTCCGGCACGAGCGCGAGGAACGCCGCGACGTCGTGCGCCTCGTCGCCGGCGAGCCTGAGCACGTCCATGTCCTCGGCGGCGGCGTCCTCCGCCTCGGCCTCGACGAACGCCACCCCGGCGTCGGCGTCGTCGGCGGCGGCGCAGTCCACCACGACGTCCTCCGTCTCCTCCACGTAGACCAGCTTCCCTGCCAGGGGCAGGTAAAGCACCAGCGTGGCGGCGAGCGAGCCCTTGAGCCGCTCGACCGCCGCCGCGAACCCATCCCCACCGCCGCCGTCCGCCGCCGCCGCCGCCGACATCTCGTACAGGAACACGCGCTGGATCGGCGGGAGCACGACCCACGGCGTGTCGAAGAAGGACAGCCCGACGCGCTCCCGCTCCACCGGCGCCGGCGACGGCGCGACGCGGGACACGGCGAGCACGCGCACGCGCGCGCGCGCGCCAGCGTCGCCGGACACGGCCGCGGCCTCCCCCATCTCTCCCTCTATCTCTCTCCCAACCCCGGCGTGCTTCGTTCTCGCCGTCACTGGAGCGCGCGCGAGATGTTCGACGAATTGATCTACCGTTTCGGCTCGTATGATCGCGACCTCATTTATAAGTGCGAGGTGTCCGTGACGTCGTCGTCCTCCTCCTCCTGCATAGGAGGCAACGGAACATTGGAGGCAATTTTTTTATTTTTTTGGGGGCGAGGATTTTTTTTTTTTTTTGGAGGGTGAGGTATCATTAAATTTTTGTGGTTGATACTCTACATTTCACAGCTCACCACACAGCACACAGCAATAAAATTCATATTTATGCTGATTTGGTTTGAGAAAAGTTCACAGAAAATACTATCAATTATCGAAAGCAATTGAAATATATCTAAAATAATTAATGTATGAAGTTAAGAAAAGGAAATGTAAACGCGGTAGTAAATTTCTATTCCCTTTTTCAAAATATAAGTATTTTTTTCAAAATTATTTAATTAGTAAATTTCCATTGTTTTCTACATGATCTCTTATATTACTCTTTCACAATTAATATTTGTTCTAATGTATTATCAAACAGCTACAATGTAAACATCGCTTGAAAGTTTTTTTAAAATACGATTATAATCATATGGCATAAATGACTCTAAATATATATAGCTTCTATTCTAAAATATAAGAGATCTTGGCTACGTGACTAGACGTACTTGTTAAAATACGATTACCCTCCAGGTTAATAATACTTGTCGTTTCAAATAAATAAGAACACAACCCCTAAAAAATATCTTTATCACTATTTTCTATTGTAACATATATAGTAATATATTTTATTGGAATACCTTTTAAATTAATCTGGTAGTCTATAAGAAAAATATTTTAGAAATTATTATTAGTCAAATATAAAATTTGACATTAATCTTATCCTAAACGATAAGTATTATCAACATGTAGGGAGTAATATATTGTTAGTTTGGCTATTAGTACTCCCTCCGTTCCTAAATACAGGACGTAACTTCTTTTCAACTGGATTCCATAATACAAGGCGGCAGCTTCTCGGTGCATGTGCATCTGCATGCATGCTGGCTATTCGCTCGGAAAGTGCAGGTCGAGCGCATGCTGCATGCATGGTGGTTAATGCTAGCGTATCTACCGCGCAACAACCGAAACGTCGCTCTTCGAACGGAGAGAATTAGTCAGCATAACTGCTATTTAAACAGTTTTATTGGTCTTTGCAACTACAACAACCACGTCCTATATTAAGGAACGGAGGGAGTAGAAGTTAACAAATATAGACCTTATATTTTAGTATACTAAGGGTTTTCTCGCAGAAAAAATATATTCTATTTTTGATGCAGTTTTTCACATTAATTGTGCAAAATTATTCCAGTGACAAACTAAAGAAATCTGGAGACTAACGTAATGGAACTGAAACTGGTATACAGCTCGGTTTATATTTCCTGTCAAAATAAACACGGATTTTGCGTTCCATGACTCGGATTTGATTTTTCTGTCAAATCAAATCTGCATTTTGTCCCGAGGCTTCAAATTTCTTGAGACAGCTCAAGTACACTAAGGACAATATATAATTGGACACTAATAACTGCTGGTTGATCGATGTAGTATTAGCTGGTTAATAACAACTAGCTGGACGTCCCGCGCAATTGCGCGGTTAGCATCTAACCAAAATCATATATTATTCAGCATGATTTTACTTAAAATTTATTAAATAGCTATCCCTGTATTATCCCCATATTTCTAATTATGTAGTTTTTAAAGTCACACCAGCTGCTACCCCTTACTTCTGTCATATCCTTATTTATTTGCTTGCTCGGTCTACCACTATTTCTATTCATTCTCCTGAAACCTTTAAAAATTAGATTTTATAGTTTTTTAAGTTTATTATCTCGTTGGGTTTCGTTTTTATAATTTCTGGAAGTCCCATCAAACGCTGCCATTATACTCCTCTATGGCCCGTCCACTGTTTTTTCTCTTTATTGTCATTGGGATTTTACAAATCAAACATAATTATCGTTCGAGTTTATTTTTTACTTTTTATAACTCCCGCCAAACCGTCAGCGGCTTTGCAATTGTACTCCTTTATGGCTCGCCCGTTGTCTCCCTTCTTTATTGCCATTGAGATTTTAAAATCAAATATGATTATCATTATTTTTTTTACTTTTTAGAAGTTCCGAACCTTTAAAAATTAGACCTTGTAGTTTTTAGAATTTATTTTCTTGTTGAGCTTTATTTTTTATAATTTTTAGAAGTCGCGTCAAACGATGCCACTATACTTCTTTACGACCCATCCGCCGCCTAATCTTTATTATTGTCATTGGGATTCTAAAAATCGAGCATAACTATCGTTGGAATTCATTTTTTTTATTTTTTAAGAAGTCCCCGCCAACCATCGGCGGCTCTACAACTATACTCTTATACACCCTCCTGATGCTTCTCTTTTTATTATCATTGAGATTTTAAAAATCGAATATGATTATCAATGGAGTTTTTTTCTTTTACTTTCTAAAAGTCCCAGCAACCATATTACCCGTTTGCTTCACGGCCTGCCTGTCGTCCCTCCTTTTAATCATCATAATGATTTTATTTGGTGTTTTACTAGCAGTCAACCACCACCACTCTTATCTTTTATAGGCTTGTTACTTAATTTATCTTATCGTGTGTTTTATATGGTCTTCTTTTTCAATAGTCTTTATTTTTATCACCAATTTTAGTTATTTATAAATTGTATTCCTAATTGAAATCTTGTTTCTTTTTCTAATTTCAGAATTTATTTTTATTTTTATTCTGAATATTAACTAATCTCGTATTTGGGTTCTTATATGGACTCTTCTCTCAATATTCCTTTTTTTTACTTCTGAATTTTAGTTATTTTTAAATTGTATTCCTAGATGGACTCTTCTTTTCTTTTCTAATTTCTGATTTTATTTTATTTTTATTCTGAATTTTGATTAATATCATATTGGATTCTTCTATGGACTGTTCTTTCAATATTGCTTATTTTTAATTCCGAATTTCAAATATTTTTAAATTGTATTTCTACTTGGACTATCCTTTTCTTTTTCTCCGACTAATGTGGGAATTTTTAGCCCCCACAGCGAACGTGGTGTCTCCTTTCAAAGCTGTTTTAATAATATACTAGAATAGATAATTGGGGCTTCAAATTTTCTTCTGTCCAGGTTTCAGCTTTGCTCATTTGGAAGCTACCAGCTACAGTAGCTAAATTAAGCATATGTCCATTTGGAAGCCTTTCATGCTGGCGACGTTAATGACTTAATTCACATGACATTTGGCAGCTACTGTACTACGTACTGCCAGAGAAAACCAACTAGCTAGTCAAGAGATATCTCAATGTGTGATTACAGATTAGAAGGTTACCTACTGTTTCTTTTGACAAATCAGGCAATTAATCAGATTAATTGATGGATTGTATGACTGAGCACCAGTGAGCAGCAATTCCAATTTAATTGCGATTGTGTTGGTTTCAGAAATTTTGATGGATTTTTGGGATGTCAGTTTCAGCTGGGTGACGGGTGCATGATGAAACCTCAGGTTTAAAAACTCAACTACTTCCTCTGTTCAAATTACTTGTTTTTTTTTAACTTTGTCGTAAGTCAAATACTATTAACTTTGATCATTATTTTTCTAAAACTAATATAGTTTAACAATATGAAAATTATGTATTATGAAAACATTTATTATGATGAAATAAAAACATAATTCTTAGAATGTTAAACTATAAAAATTTCTGAAAATTGATATTCGAATGGAGGAATCTAAGTTAGTACAAAGCTAAAACAATAAATAATGTGAAACAGGGGAATATAAGGTTTTTTTAAAAAATAATATTTTTCAATAGAGAATTGAAAATATAAGGGTTAACGTATTAAAATTAAGTTTAACACCTCATTGAACAATCAAAGTTCGACACGGGATAAAAAAAATGACAACAGTCACTGCACAACGCTGTGTGACACTGTACAACATATATGTGAGTAGTGTGAGACACTGTTCATGCATTTTCATTTTTTTAAAGTGGACCAACAACCCTATCGGATAACCGCAGCTCGACAAGTGTCGAACTACGGTTATTTGACAGGGTATTAAACTTACGATTTTAGCTGATCAGCTTCTATTTTTATAATTTTTCATTAAAATAATATTATTTCTAAAAAAAATTAATAAGGGAGGCATAATCATTTTCAGTAAAATCAACGCACACTAGTACAGAAAACCCCATATGTGCCGGTTGGGAAACCCACATAGGTGCAGGTTTCCTAACCGACACCCCCAAAGCAGCACCAATGAGAGAAATGGTAGGTGCTGGTGTCTAGAACCGGCACTTATAAGGTCCAACGAATCAAAAAAAAATCCGACTCGATGTATCGGCTCGATTTGAGCCGATACTCGGCTCGATTTGATCCCCACAATATCTCATCAAAGAACAATTCATCAATATCTTCATTCATCAACATCCCATCCAACAAGAACAAACAAGGAGACTCCGAGATCGAGATTGAAAGATACCCAAGAACATCAAAGAACAAAATTAAGCACATAATTAAGAATTTCAAGCACACGAGACTCCGGATCTGGAAGATTTGGAAAGCTCTGAGGCCATCGGGAGGGAGGGTGCCACCGGCGGCGACGTGTGGGAGGTCGCCAGCCTCCCCGCCACACGCCGCCATGGTGAGGCCGCCAGCCACCCCACCGCGCCCGTGGAGAGGTCGACCAGCCGCCCGTACCCCCGCGTGCCGCCATGGGAAGGCGGCGTTCACCCCGCCACCGCCGCCGTCCGCCGCGACCGGCTGCTAGCCCAGACACTAACCCCGTCTCCTCCCCCCTCCCCGGCCGCCGCCTGGCTGGATGCAGAAAGAGAATGGGGGAAGAGAGAAGAGAATGGGGGACGAGGAGGAGGAGAGAGGGATGGTGAGTGGAGCAGTGGAGGAGACCGGGTGAGTGGATAAGTACGCGCGACTTTATCCACTTTATCGACCGCGCCCCCGGCTTCTCTCTCGATCGGCTCGGCTCGTTTGATAGGTGCCAGTTTTTTTAGAAAACCGGCATCTGTAATATATTATAGGTGTCGGTTTTTATTTAACCGACACCTATAATATATCATAGGTGTCGTTTTTTAAAAAAAAACCGGCATCTATAGTATAGGTGTAGGTTTTTCTATTGAACCGGCACCTATAACTAATTAAAGATACCGGTTTTTTTTATTTTCAGCCTGTGAAGGTGGGAAAAACACTATAGGTGTCAATTTTAGCTATTTCGGTACATATAGTGCCGAACTGTATGTGTGTTTTTGTAGTAGTGGCATGATGTTTTCGATCCAGACCATGCATGTTGAAAATTAAATGTTCTCATTTTTCATAAAATCAGTAGTCAATCCTATAGAATAGTTCAAGAATATATTTTGGCCGAATATGTATGACCACAAGACACAAGTGTGATAGAGATTAGAGATCGAATAGCTGTGGCATGTAAACCATCTAGAGCTTGGAAATGTATACACTTTTCGAATATAAAAGACAAACTAGTAGTTTTCGCTATAGAAGAAGAGTTCAATGGCACATTTTGGTCGTATTTATAGGCAATCAGGAATAGATGTGACTGAGAAAAGTAGGAGCATTTGTGGCTACATATTCAGGTGAACTCATGGTATACAGTGCATCAGCGGCAGAGCTGCTTCTAGAGACGACACGCTGGACACTAGCTTAGCTACAATGTCTCTAAATCACCGGTTAAATTAACACAAAGGATTGACACCGTAAGAGATGACGTCAGATAATTTAGATACTTATGGAGTCTTCGTTTGAAAATTCCCTTTTTCCAACCACATGCATGGTGGTGTGAAACTGTGAATTCGAATTCAAGTTGATACGGCTAGCTATATGTCTGTGAGTCCGGTTGGAATGACTTGAGTAGTACTCCAAGATACTGAGTTCAAATCTTTATACGAGTTAATTTCAGATTAAATTGTTTGAGGAGACTAAGTTTTTAATTTAAAAAGGCTACATATATCCGATACGATGTGGCCGAGTTAAAAAAATATCATTCTCTAAAATAAAAGGCTATAACTTAATTTGTGAGTAATTATAGCATAATCTTGTGAATCATAATATATACTAAAATGTTAATCATGAGACTTGATCACAGGCTCACGAATCACACTACATGTAATGAGTTTAACGAGCTAACTCGGACATTTTAACGGGTCAAGTTAAGTTTCAATTCGTTCCCAACTTATTGTGTTAATGAGTCGAGCCGAACAAACTCGTTAACTTAACAAGTTTTTACGAATTACTTCCTCCGTTTCAAGTTATAAAGCTTTCACATTGCCCATATATATATATATATATATATATATATATATAGAGAGAGAGAGAGAGAGAGAGAGACCTATACCTATTAACAAAACAACTAAAATTTAACTTTATTTCACAATCCATGATTACATACCTAACTAATTATATGTATGGATGCTATATACCTAGAATCAAAATCTAACAAAAACAAGTTCAAATTCAGTATAAACATGCTTTGAACTAGTTAGTAAAGTACTTAATGTTAATACCTAAGTAATTGAAAAAGTTTCATACTCATTTGAATTGGGTATATACTCAATTTCAACAATGATGCCCGGGCACCATGGAGCACCAAACAAATTTAATATATATATATATATATATATATATATATATATATATATATATATATATATATATATATGTATGTATGTATGTATGTATGTATGTATGTATGTATGTATGTATGTATGTATGTATGTATGTATGTATGTATGTATGTATGTATGTATGTATGTATGTATGTATGTATGTATGTATGTATGTATGTATGTATGTATGTATGTATGTATGTATGTATGTATGTATGTATGTATGTATGTATGTAAATTAACTGGTGCTACATGGAGTATGGGCTCCAAGATTCAAATTGAGTATATACCCAATTTGAGTGAGTATGAAATTTTTTTAAATGCTTAGATATGAACATTAACTTCTTTACTATGTTAGTTCAAACAAGTTTGAACTTTTTTTTTGTTAGATTTTGGTTCTAGGTATATAACATCCAAACATATAATTCGTTAGGTATTTAATAATGAATTGTGAAATAAAGTTTAGTTTGAGTTGTTTTGTTGTTAGGTATTTGTATGAATCAAATTCATATAGCTAGATATATACTCACAATTTGAAAATTTTAAAAAATTTAAGAGAATTTGTGTGTTTTATACCTTACCCTACCATAGCCGCCACAGTCAATCAATCGCTACAAATACAAGTACTGAGATTGTGACAACAACGGAATCCCCAAGCTCTTCGCAAAAACTGCACCAATTTTTATTTTCCTTCCACCAACCGAGCCGATCGCAGGAAGCCGAGCGAGACGTCTTTCCTTCGTCTCGCCGCCAGCCATGGCGCCACCACCATCGGTCACCGTCATTGAGGACGGCCGCGTCGCCGTGCCGCCTCCGCCGCCGCCAGCTTCCGGCGACGCCGCGCCGCCTCCTCAAACGACGCTGTTCAAGCTGACCGCGCTCGACGCGCAGTGGATCCCGCTCCCGCTCATCCAGCGGGTGCTCGTGTTCGACGGCGGCGAGGGGCGCATACCGCCGTTCGAGGACGTCGTCGCCGCCCTCCGCGCGTCCCTGGCGGAGACGGTGGCGCGGCTACTGCCCCTCGCCGGTAGGATCGTCCACCTGCCGGAGACGGGGGAGGCGGCGATCGACTGCTCCGGGCGCGGCGTGGCCGGCGGCGGCGTCAGGTTCGTCGTCGCGGAGTGCGGCGGCGCCGACGCGGCGCGCGTCGCCCGGGACGCCGACCACGACGTGGCGCTGCTGGAGCAGCTCGCGCCGGTGCTCGACGCCGACGCGCTCCCGGCGGAGACGATGGCCGCGCAGGTGACCAGGCTGGGCGGCGGCGGCGGCGGCGGCGTGGCGGTCGGCGTGGCGCTGCACCACGCCGTGGCGGACGGCCGCTCGGTCTGGAGGTTCATCGAGGCCTGGGCGGCGTGCTGCCGCGGCGACGACGCGTGGAGCGCCGCGCCGGCGCCGGCGTTCGACCGCGCCGCCGTCGCGCTCCCTGACGGCGAGGAGCTCGCCAGGGACGTGCTCCGGAAGTACGTCCCAAACCTGCCAGTGGTAAGCACGCAAATTCACAGGATTTCTTTGAATTCCATTGTTTTTTTAAAAAAAAATTACATTTCAAAAGAATATGTTCAAATATTTTTAAAAAGAAATAAATGTTACTCCCTCCGTCCCATAATGTAAGGGATTTTGAGTTTTTGTTTGCATTGTTTGACCACTCGTCTTATTCAAATAATTTGTGCAAATATAAAAAATGAAAAGTTGTGCTTAAAATATTTTGAATAATAAAGTAAGTAAAAAAAGAAATAACAATTCTAATTTTTTTTTTGAATAAGACGAGTGGTTAAACAGAGCGAGTAAAAACTTAACATCTCTTCTAATATAGGAGGGAGGGAGTATTTTTTTCAACCGTGCGATCGATCAGATTAGTGGGCCATGAGGTACGGCCTTTCACTGTCCAACTTTTAATGTCTTCATTGCAGTGCATGCCCTGCTACTGCTAGTTGTGTGGTTCTATCCAAATTTGAGGCTCCTGTCAGATTTGAGGGAATGGCTTCCCGGCAGATCAAGAAAACAAACACAAAATTTTACCGTAACTTACCCCCCGATAACTTCAAAACAGTAATTAACAGCCATTCCATTTGGAATTTACAGCTGGAGTTAAATGTAAACTCATTATATTTATACAGTGTAAATTTCACAAGAACCAGACCTACAACATAAGCTAAAGAATCATATAGCCTCAAAACAATATAGTACCAAACCAACTAAAAAAAGTCCAAATTTTCCCTCTAAACTATTGCGGTCGTCTGATTTATCATACTCATTTCAAATACTAGATATTTTACACCTTAAACTTTTCAAACCGGACCGATAATTAACCTCCTTAACCTCCCATAAAGCAGTATCAGTCTTACGTGACACACGTACAACAGTTTAGCCACATGTCCATCTAGTCAACAGTTTGGGAAAATATTTTTTCAGAAAATATAATAGTGGCCCCACATGTCATATTCTTATATCTTCTTCTTCCTCGCTCTCTCATAGTCCCGTGCCGTCGTCGCCCCCGCCCCCCGTTGATCTCTCCAGCTCTCCCTGCCACCACCCTCCACGAGCTTGCTAGCTCCACTAGTGTGGCTGCAGCTCGTTGCATCCATGTGCCATAGCACAAGCCAATCAAGCTCCTCTCAACTGAAGAGGAACACACCCATGCGACCTTCCGAGCCATTCCCCCTTCCCTCTCACTGAGATCGATGGGTGAGATGATGCATGATGCGGCAGGGTTGCTGCCTTTCTGGGGATGACGCCACCGCTATCGCCTACACATCAAACCTTTCTTCCTCTGCCGTCTCAGGGAGGCCATCGCCATCTTCCTTCGCCTCCTCACTGCTCCTCCTGTTGTGGGGAGGAGGGAGGGAGAGAGTGGGAGATGGAAGGAAGGAGACGAGAGGAGAAGAAGATGGAGCTCGCTGATTTTTTTTTCTATCTTTAATTTCTAGCTTACTAGACTGCAGTCACGTAATATCAAAATCACTCCGGATTGAGTTAGGGGGGTTAAGCATCTAGTTTAAAGAGTTCGAGATACAAAATATCTGGTATTTGTTGAATGGGTAAATCGAACGATCGCAATAGTCCAAAAAGGTAATTCGGATTTTTTCCTACTAATTTATAGTCACTTTTTTAAAAAAAATAATTGGAGTTACAATCTAACATCAACATATTTACACTGTAAATTGCAGAACTTCGTAGAACCACACGTAGTTAGGGCATAATCGGATAGCTGTTTACGTTTTACAGTCATTTTATGCTGGGGATAAAGCATTTTTAGCATAGTGACAAATCAAATATTTTTAACTTTGATTATTAATAGCAAAAAAAATCAATCATGTAAGTAAACAATCATAATATGTAACTTTTTTTATTTAAAACATTTTACTTTTATAAATATTATTGGTCAAAGTAGCATCTCGAAAACAGTGTGAGGATAAAAAATGCTTATATTTTGGAACGAAGGGAGTATTAGTTTTTTTTTTTGAAAAATGGACTAATATGATTTTTCAAAACAACTTTCATATAAAAATTTTTGTAAAAAATACACAATTTAATAGTTTGAAAACGTACGTGCGGAAAACGAGAGATATGAGTTAGGAAAGTGAGGTAATGACGTGGCATCCTAATGACTATACTAACTCAATCGAATTGGCTATGGTGTTATGTTTTGGCCTTGGTTCACACGTGTTACACAAGTCACTCATCACATAAAAGTTCTCTAAACTTTTGTACTAGTAGGGCAATTTATACCTTTTAAGTTCGAGTAATTCTATACAATTTACTCAAATAACTTTTATAAATATAGTGTTTTTTTAAAAAAATGCAAAATAAGTTCATAAATTTGGCTTATTCGCGCCATTTCCGATGAGCAGGCAACGGTACCCAAGTTCCTCGTCAAGGGCCGCCTGCAGCTCTCCCGCCGGACGTTCACCGTCGCCGCCGCGCAAATGCTCCGGCTGAAGCAGCGCATCGTCGTCGCCGGCGCCGGCGGCCTCACGCCGCCGTCCGGCTTCGTGGCGCTCGCGGCGCTGGCGTGGGTGTCGTTCGTCCGGAGCAAGCACGCGGCGGGCGCCATCGCCGCCGGCGACGAGGTGTACCTCTTCTTCTTCATCGACTGCCGCGGCCGCCGCGCCGCGTTCGACCCGCCGGTGGGGGAGGGCTTCTTCGGCACGTGCATCTCCGGCTGCCTCGCCACGGCCACCGCGCGGGACCTGCTCGGCGGCGGCGACGGCGGGCTGGTCGCCGCCGCCAGGGCCGTGCAGGAGGAGGTGCGGCGAGCGGCGGAGGACCCGCTCGCCGGCTGGGAGTGGATGTCGCTGGTGGGGCGGATCGCGCTGAGCCGGCTGGTGAACATGTCGGGGTCGACGAGGTTCCCGGCGTACGAGGCGGCGGACTTCGGGTGGGGCTCGCCGAGCCGGACGGAGTTGGTGACGATGAACCATGGCGGGCAGGTGGTGCTCGTCGCCGCCAAGGGCGGCGGTGTGCAGGCGTCGGTGTCGATGAAGCCGGAGCACATGGACAAGTTCAAGTCGGATTTTGAGAGCTACTTAGAATGATTATTTGACTAGAAAAAATACCCGTGCGTTGTACGGGTGAAGTTTATTTTAATCTTATTATTATTATATGGTTTAGTTAATATAAAATTCACTGCGAGAGTTCGCTTGAAAATATATATTTTTAGAAAATTATGGGTTGTAGTTAGGAATCCAATCACCTTAAGTTAGCATGCGAGTTTTTTTAAACATATTTTTTTATGATTCCTTCTGTATTAAAAAAGTGAATTATCTTAAAAACCGACTCAAATACGGATATGTATTTTCAAAAGCAAACGAACTTAAAAACCGACTCATACACGAATGACGTAAAAAATACCAACAAAAATATTTTTAATTTTTATTATAGTAGAGATCGAAGAAGATGAAAATTCCAATTGGAAACCATCGATCGTACTACGTGTTTCTTGTTTGTAGTCAAAAATTTTGGAGTGCTTTTGAATTAAATGGCCGAAAAGACGTCATGTCAAGTTGGCAACCAACTGTTAAGATTTTGAGAAAAATAATATATTGTCCCCGATATCTTGGATTGTACTGTACATGTTGATATATAAGAAAGGATAATAGAAATTCTTGCATTGTCCCTGATAACAGCACACATGGATATTAATAGGATCTGGTCTTAAATAATTAAGCAAATTTCATAAAACCTTACTCACTCCGTCCTTAAAAAAAAACTCAATCTAGAAAGAGATGTCTAGAACAACGAATCTGGACAAAGGGTTACATCCCATCCTAAGTTAAGTTTTTTTTTGGGACAGAGCAAGTATGTTTTGGAATTGGAGCGCACGTCACACAAAACCCATTAAAGCTTAAACCTTATGAAACATTGTATCATAAAACATGAGATTCTTCAAAACAAACTATTATACCTGAGGTTTTGAATTATAGATGCTTCAAAACCGAGTTTTATGAAGTTATTACATTCTAGAATCGCTGGATTGCTACTAAAGCACAGACAGGTTACTACAATAGGAAATAAATAAATGCTCATGGTTTAAGAGAACATAACGCCCCTGTTTTTTTTAAAAAGAAATCATTCGTCCAATTAGTACAGTATATTATTTACATGATTATAGATATAAATTAAATATTATAATAAATAAACTTAACAAATAGCTTACACAAAGCATCTTAAAAAAATACAGAAGAATGTTTTTTTTAGAAAACATATTAATCCAGTGAAGTTCATGATGAATTGATTCCACCCACCCCAAACCAACTTCCAAGTTTCTTACTACGAATTACTCTAGTTTTCGCCACTTGGACACTAAACAAAAATACAGTACTAAAAATGAGGTGCTCTTTCAAGCTTCACTTGTTCTGTGGTGCTACCAATTTACACAACCGTGTTTGGCATATTCCTTTTAAGTGAAGTACTTACATATTTTTCACATTTACTACATATGAATTAATTTATCCTTCCGTTCTACTCTCTCCATCAAAAAAAAACCAAACGTAGGACTAGATGTGACATATTCAGATTCGTTGTAGCAGGATATATCACATCTAGTTCTATGATTTTCTTTTTGGACCGAAAGAGTATATTATATAAGTCATCTTAGGTTGGTTCTAAATCAAAATACTTTTAGTTTCTAGCAAAATATATAAACATCTATAATCAAATTAGGCTTATTAAATCTACGACTAAACATATTCTATGGTACATTTATTTTGTGTTAAAAATATTGCTATGTTTTTCAATAAATTTAGTTAAATCTTAAAAAGAAACAGAGGTAGATCAGACTATCTAGGCGCATAGGCCATGGCCCATTTACAAAACTAGCCCGATGCCAAATTGAGCGGGATATATACCACGGCCCATTTGAAAAGATTATGCAACGCAACTACCTCCCCTCCTTTTTTTTCCAATTTATTTTCCTACTGAAAAATGGTGGTTGCCGGACACGGAGGCGGCGGCGGGCGTTGCTGTCAGAGGCGATGAGGCTGTCCGCGATGGATGCCCTGTGGCTCACCGCTGCCGCTCATCCAGCGTGTCCTCATTTTCCTTCCTTTAAGAAAATAAGAGATTTGAAACATGTTGAGAATTAAACAAGAGAGACTTTACGGTTGAAACCGTACGTTTCTTATTACTGCACTCGTGTTCCTACCACCGTCCAGCGACGTCGCCGTCGACTGCTCCTCATCCGCCACGGTCGCTGGCGTCAGGTTCATCCCGGCCGAGGGCCGAGGGGCTCGGCGCCGACGCGCGCTGCCTGGGGCCAAAGCTGTGCCCTTGCTTGATCTCCAATTTTGTGTTGTAATGTTTAATTCAAGTATCGGTTATTGAATCTTCAGCTCACTTGGAGACCTTGGATGGAATCGTATAAGGTCAGAATTGTGATCGAAAGACACACAAGATTTACCCATAGGAACCAGAAGCACGAGTAATCCAAATCATAGAGCCCATAAAACATGGAAATTTAACTATTTGTAACTATTAAGTTTGGTAATTGTCTAAATATCCTTCTTAATTTATACTTTTTTTACCGCTTTTAAGACGTGATTTCTTAACTATTTATTATTTTTGCCCACGTAGCATGCCAACGTGGTAACGTATGGTAAAAACCGGTGTGAGATTCACTGGTCAGTGTCTCTCCCTCCGCCGGCCTTCTCTGTCGCCGTCGCCACTAGGGTGAGCATGAGGGTGGGCGCCCACCGTCTCGTTGTTCAACCACCTCCGTTGCCTCCTTGCTGGCGGCTCGCTCGATAACGACAACAGCATGGGCGACGTCACCCGCGTTGCTAGGGTTCGTTATGACCCGCATGCCCACGTTGTCTAGATTGAGGAATTCCTGATAACCAACGCCAAGTTACGTGCCAGTGCCAAGAGGCCGCACGAATGCGATACTGGCAACGGTCCGAATGTCTAGTTCCCCACCGCCGGCACACATGGGATAGTTGTCTCACTAACGATGGTGACTCGTTTCGTCCCAACGCTGCTGGTGCAGCAGCAGACACAGCATCGTTGGCAGCTGCCACGCCGCTGGTTCATGCGTGGAGCCGGAGCGACGGTAGTGAAAAAGGGCAGTACAACAGCATCCTCCAGGCCGTGTAGAGCGCGACAATGAGGGAAAGGTGGACACCGACGATGTAACTCATGCTGCCATTATCATCGTGCAAGCCGCCAACGAGGAGGCGGTCGAACACCAGGGCAGCTGTCGGGTGGTAGACACCCACCCTCATGCTCACCCTCACGGCGATGGCAGCAAAGAGGGCCTAGCCACGGCAGCGGCAGTGAGAGAGAAGGCCAGCGGAGGGAGAGACACTGACCAGTGCGTCCTACACATGGTTTGCAGTTTCGTTTTTGGTGAAAATTTCGGTAGCACCGAAATTTACAAACTTCTTGGTTTTCAGCACTTTTGAACCGAAATTATTTAAAATTTTAACAAATTTTGACTGAATTTAAATAAATTATTATCAAATTGAACAAAAGAAATTAAGAAAACCCGAAAATTTATGTCGATGTAATGACTTGCTGGGGGTCCGAAAATTTGAATCAAAATTGCAATTATCGGTCCCACACCATTTTCACCCTATATTGCCATGTTGGCATGCCACTTGAGAAAAAAGGAAAATAGTTCAGAAACCACCTCTTAAGAGTAATAAAAAAATAGCAAATCTAGAAAGAACATTTAGATAATTGAGAAAATTTATAGTGGAAAAAAAATTAAATTTTCCCTAAAATAACAACAGGTGACTAGAAGTCTTCCGTCTAATTGAAACGAAAAATTACCGTGCGAATGTTGTTAGCCACATGTTCTTTTTAGCTTATTTATCATACTATTGAAATAGATTATTTGATTCACACTTCAAAAAGTATATGTTTAAATATATGTTTTCCCCAATGTGCCAAGCCCAGATGAGCGTGAGCCGCCATGGGCCAAACTACACATATCTGATTGGATTTGGATCACAACCGAACTCCTACAGAAATTTCAAGGACTATTTTTCTTCAATTTTAAACCATACCATCAAACATTTCATGCAAAAGGAGAATCAATTTTAAACAGCATCAGCATCAACAATTAATTAACGCGGTAATTAAGTAATAATAAAACTACGCGTGTGCCTAGCTAGCTAATTAGTATTCCTCTTTAGTCTAAACCATTGCACGCCATGGAGGTGGCCGGCGAACCCCCTCTCGCCGCCGCCGCCGCCGCCTCCGCTCTCCTCCTCGCCGCCGATGCCCTCGAACTCCATCACCCTCGACCCGTCGCCGCCGCAGTACGCCTTGTTCCCTGACGCCGCCGTCGCCGCCGGCGCGTAGAACGCCGTCGTCGTCGACCCGGCCCCGGCGTTGTACCCGACGCCGGCGTCGCCGCCGCCCATCATGAGCCCGACGTCGCCGCCGCCGTCCTGCTGCTGATGACCATGGTGTGAGTGTGACAGGCCGCCGGCGAGCGGGTAATGCCCGTCGATGACGACGCCATCGGCGCCGCCGCCGCCGCCGCCGCAGCAACCGCCCTCGCCGTGGCGCGCCGCGGCGGCGCCGCCGGCGCCGCCGAGCACGTCGGCCTTCTCGCCCTCGGCCTCGCGGTAGCGGTTGAGGTAGGACTTGAGCGGGCCGACGTAGGCCTCGAACCCCAGCGTGGTCATGGCCCAGAGGAGGTCGTCGCCGTTGATGGTCTTCCGCTTCTCGCGCTGGCACTTGTCGGAGGCCTCGCCTGTAACGAAGCTGATGAACTCCGACACGCACTCCTGCACCGTCTCCTTCGACTCCTTGGAGATCTTGGCGTTCGCCGGCAGCGACCGCTTCATGATGCGGCTCACGTTCGCGATCGGCAGGAACCTGTCCTGCTCCTTCGCCGGCGAGTCCCCACCGCCGCCGCCGCCGTAGACGACATACCCGGCGCTGCTCCCGCAGCCGCCGCCGCCAGCCGCAGCCGCCGCCGCCGCCTCGCCGGACTCGTTGTCCAACGGCGGGCTGCCCACCGGGCTCAGCAAGTGCCCATAGCTCTTCCTACTCTTCATGTGAAGCTAACAACACTAGCTATAGCTAGCTAGCTAGCTAGAGAGAGAGTGTGTAGTTAGAGAGAGAGAGAAGGGGGAGGTTATGGGAGTTGAGGATGGAGTGGTGATGCTCTCCTTTTAAAGAAGGAAAGGAGGTGAGGAGATGCGAGTGGGAAGACGGTATCGATGCGGACACAAAGCAAACATAAGGACGCTACTATATATATTATGTGTGTCGCGACATTCTCGTCCCTACCCGATCACCTTTCATGTAAACCATGTAGTAATAGTTCAGCGGTTTAATTTATTACCTATGCAAAGTGAGTAGAGATTAAGGATAACAAAATCTACATCATGCTGAAATTAATTCTTATCTATCAAGGTGCTCTATCGCTGCATTGCGTCACGTTTTAAATAGTGCGCGCCGTTGCACCAATAAAAATTAACTTGGTTGTTTGCATTACATGTGTGCAGCGCATTCAATGATGCTCATTTACTTCTTGCACAAATAAATAAAGATACACTTGTTAGCTGATGATCATTTTGAAAAGACTAAAAAATCTTAGGTGATGATCAAACTACGACGAAAAAATATTGTTTAAGGTGTTTAATTATTTAATTTATACTAACATATACTAATGACCGAAGGAAGTATTACATTTTCTTTTGTTATTGGAGTCTAGGCAAGGGATTGATTTATTTTATGAGAATTGAGATATGTATAATTGTGCATGAAAGTATGGTGTATAGCTAGAGATGAAATGGAGGTGGGGAGATGGAGGTCGATGAGAGAGAGAGAGAGAGAGGGGGGGGACTAGTTGCCATTGCTGACGGGCTCGAATATCATGTTGAAGAACATGAGACCAGAGTTCCAAAAAGATCAAGACAGGGGAAACCAGAAAATATTCCAAAGGATATCATGGCACAGTCCACAGCCTGGATGACCACCACTAGCTAGCCATGTCACCTCAAGAAAAAAATTGCTATCTACAAAGATTTTTGATTTCTTGGGGTTCCTAGGCCAATGGCAAGGCATCACATTAGTGGCATTGATGCACTGCAATCTTTCTACCCAAAAAAAGGGGGTCACACACTTACATCTCATATAGTTTTGCTTGATAATAAAAAAGATAATGCATATTGTAAGCTCATTGCTAAAGATGGCATCTGCGAGTGCATATATTACATTGTGAAAATTGTGACATGAAAAAGAAAAATATCTCTGCTCTCACTTCACTTGTGATGGAATATGGTATCTTGTGCATTTTCATAAAAGGAAAAGGCAGGACAAAGGGCAAAGGGGCCTTGTGTGAGATGCTTCTCTTATCCCCTTTTCCACTCTTTTTTTGGCTTCAAAGTTCTATGGATTATTCGCGCCATCACATCGCACAATAATAGAAGAATATATGTGATAACAACTTGGGTAGAGTACGCGGATTAATTAACATAACCTCAGAAGCTTAAGGTTGAAATTACTAGGTTTTAATTTCCACTACTTCATCAGCTGCAGGCTTCTGGATTAGGAAATCAATTATATGCTTTGGGAGGTTTGAATGGTAAACGGGTGATTAGTTTTAGTAGTTAGCAACCGGAGCTTCATATAAACAACTGAGATCGTGCCATTTGTCAGATTCCAGAGGAAGCCACTGCCGTAATTACCTGTTGTTTAGTGTTTAAAATTATTGCTCTTTCTCAACTGGATTCATTTCCTCTGTTGTGCTCGGGCAAATATTCTACATGATTAAATAACATCCGACCTCTGCATCAAGGATGCGGGCAAGTACTCATTTTAGAAATTCTATAAGTTTAGTGAAACATAAGAAGCCTGAAAAAAAATATTCAAGCTTTCCTAAAAAAAATTAATCCAATCTGCACATATATAGCTGTTACTAAAATTTTCACCGGTGCTTGACAAACATATTCACTGACAAAAGACGAGCTACAGTACTGCAGGCATACGCGCACCGTTGGATCGGCTAAACATTCGGTCAAGATCAAAGTATGACTTCTTTTAATTAGAGAATTTGCTGGAATATTTCAAAAAGCTTAGTGAATTTTTCAATGGAACCGTGGGTCATTTCCAACGTTCCATTACTTTGCAAACCGTTAATTTATTATTGCTCTTTTTTTTTTGTTAAACTGCACACTTTGTGTCCAGCCGATTGAAAACAACTCATTTTTTAAACCCGTTTCAAGAGAAATACATTGCAAAAATAAATAACGGGGATATTGGGAGCACGACGATGCAAAGGCGAGAGATGTAACCAAACCCGGATTATCTAAAATTATTTGGAACATGAGGATTCCTCTAGGAGTTTTGAGAAACTCATGATAATTTCATCGAAAATGTTTATCAACGACTCAAACTTGACTAATATCCCAACCAAATTAACGACGAAAATAGATTCGGTTTGGGCCTCCAAAAAAGCCTTTGAGTGTTCCTCTTCTTCATTTTTCCCAAGTGGAAAAGGGAAAGATCAGGAAATGAGGCTGAGAAGACATGATAAAACTAGGTGTTTAACAGGCCAAAGCCCAAAAGCAGCCCAAAAAACACAAAAGGAGCCAAGTGAAAGTGGAAGAGCTTTTGTCAAAGTGTGTTCCTACCTTTCCTTACCACTTGCACTTTTCCCCCCTCAGCTTTCAAGCTTTTTGTCCAACACGTGGCCAGAACCTTCTAAAGCAACATGTACTTAAACTAAAACAAGAGTACTGAAACTAGTACTAAGCTAGTAAAATATAAAAATAGTTAGATTATGATCAGAGCCAACTATACACAATACAATAGTGATAGGGAGTACCATGTTTCTTCATTTTTAAGCTTTTGACCTTTTCATCTTCTCCGAGTTGCAACTTTAACAGTTCCTCAGTGTAAGTGAACAGTAAAATATACTAGGAGAACCAAACATGACAAAAGTATTCTTAAATTAAGGTAGTGTAACAATATAATATTTGTGTAACCAGTTCAAATGATTTTTATTTGATTATTGCCAGTCAAAATTCAAACAGAGAAGCTACTAGGAAATTAAAAAAAAATCGGCCTACAATGCGCAACTCCTCGGCACCACAGCCACCAACTTTAATAACCTAATTTGGAAGACCTAGGCGCCACGAAAATGCAAAACCTTCACATGGCTAATCATCCAAAACAGAGTATGGACCTCCGACAGACTAGCAACCAGAGGATGGCCAAACAGTTCCATATGTCCCTTATGTCGTCGATCTCAAGAAACTGCCCTACACCTCTTCACGGGTTGTAGATACACAAAGAGAATCTAGGAGGCAATTGCAGAATGGACGGCGTGTGAGGGGTTGAAACCATGTCGGTGGCAGCAAACCTCCACGGTGTTAGAATGGTGGGAGGCTACCTCAAATATCCAGGAGGCACCCAAGAAGGCTCTTCGCACACTGATCCTGCTGGTCGCATGGGAGATCTGGACTGAGAGAAACCGCAGAACCTTTCAGCAAAAAGAGCTATCGACCACCTCCCTTCTGGCTAAAATCAAGGAAGAGGCCAAAATTTGGGCCTTAGCGGGCGCGAAAAATCTTCATAATTGGCTTTCTTTTAGTTAGCTCGGACCAAAGGTCTTGAGCTCGTTTTCGCCTTTGTACAGTTTTACTCCTTCTATATTCAATGAAAATTGGCAGCTTGCCTTTTCTTCAAAAAAAAATCATATCAAGTTCATCACATTTCTTTGACTGGTTTTGTGCAATACTAATTAATCTACTACTCCTTCCGTCCCAAAATATAAGCAATTTTACCATAGTGTCAAGTTAACTATTTTTAATTTGGACTATTAATAGAAACAAATCAATAATGTAACTATTGATGTTACTAGATTTATTATTAAACAAACTATCATAATATACAATTCTTTTTATTTAAAGCATCTTATTTTTATACTTATTGTTGGTGAAAGTAGTATCTCGAAGACTGTGCCGAAATCTAAAAATGATTATATTTTGGGACGGATGGAGTACCACAAGATAGATATATATAAATTAATATGCATAAAGAAAAGATAGGGAAGAACATTTCAACATCGCAGGCCACCACACGGCATAATATATAAATGCTATTCAATTTGACAAAAGTAAAGCTAATACTGCCTAGTTGACACACTTGACAGTGATAATCAACATCAAGGATCTAATGGACTATAACCTCATCATCCTGTTGTATGCCATCTCTTTCTTCAGCTAGATTTGACGTTACCATCAGTCCATCACTAACGTTAACCTCTCCTCGTTGAGCTACAAATTACACGCAAACTTTTGAATTATCTTTCCGGATAAACTATTTATCGGTTAATCGTTTGTATGAAATGATACTTGCATATTTAGCGACTGAAATTGATCCATTGAAGATGAAACGTCCAATTTTCTCCAGGGAGTTGATTGTCTGCTATTTCTTGTTTTTTTTTCAGCTACTAGCAGCTAGCCTTTTATACTCCTAAAAGATGTACTTTTTATAAAAACAAATATATAAATTTCTTAGAATACTTTTTAAAATCCATTTTCAACTTTTTAATATTTAATTCATTTATTGTTGCCCTCGAAAAAGTCATTACAAAATTAGAATAATCTATAGCTATCATATAATTCGGAATGGGCCTATAAGGCTGACGAAAATGCATGCTATATATATTTTTAAAAAAAGTAAATATTTTATTAAAGAATAAAATCATATCCAATCTTTGCACCTATCAGGATGTATACAGCCAACGTACATACTGTGTGTGAGGCTAGATATATACATGTAGATCGTACATGTCTAAAATATCGTGTAAGATCTGTACCATTCCAATAAATTGGGTATCCTGAAAGTACCAATAAGTTGGATATCCTGATCGATAAAGCATGGAACAAAAAGAGAAGCCATTTCAGTGGACATTTTCGAATCTTGTCCAACGCCTACCTAAAAATTATCTTTTCCAAAAAGGAAACGTGCATTTCATCTGATTTTTCATCTTTGTAGTGTTGTATACTATTATGTACCTATCACATATTGGACGAATAATATCAAAGTGAAAAATCCAGAGAACCAATTTAGTAGCGTATTTTTAGAGTCGCCCCTTCTAAACTAAAGATACGCGACCAAATGACAAACATGAATTTTAAGACAAGTAGCTTAAAATACATTTCTTTTGCATGCTTCTTAATCCCCTAAACAGTATGTTTCATGTAAAGATCTCCTATATACTCCCTCCGTCTTAAAATATAGGGGATTTTGTATGGATGAGACACTTACTAGTACTCCCTCCATCCCAAAATAAATACAGTTTTACACTATTCATCTTCAACGTTTGATCGTTTGTTTTATTTGAAAAAATTTTATGATTACTATATTTATTGTTATTAGATGATAAAACATGAATAATACTTTATGTGTGACTATTTTTTAAAAAAAAATTATAATTTTTTTAAATAAGACGGACGGTCAAACGTTGGACACGGATTTCCACGGTTGCACTTATTTTGGGACGGAGGTAGTACTACAAATCTAGACAGCTCCCCGTCTAGATTCCTAGTACTAGAAAGTGTCACATCCGTTCAAAATCCCTTATATTTGGGGACGGATAGAGTATATTTCTTTTGTTGGAATACTTTTGTAAAGTAGCCTTTTCAATTTCGTACTATTTCTTTCATTTGTTTATATACACTCAAATAGCCATCAAAAAATCGGATTATCCAACGATCCATCAATTCCAGC